GCATCAGAGGTCTCAACACAGATTTCTGAGCTGCATCACTCCTCTTCATTTTTTATTGTTTTGCTTACTAGACTTTCTTATAGCTAAAAGGAAATTCCCAAACTCAAGAAGAACCAACAAACCTATTAAACAAGTCTCAGCTGGATGCACACTGCTGGCTAGGGTAAGCCAAGTGGAATTAATAAATGGGTACTTGTTTAGAAGTCTGCTAAAATGTAGCACTGAAGGATTCAAAACCAAAAGGCAGGACATGTGAAACCACCTGCAAAGTACATACATATTTAAAGTTTATGATCCTAAGAATCAAAACCAGAAACAGAATGAAGAAGTGTTCTCTGTCGCTTGAAAGTAAAACCGATTTTTCATGCAGGACGTAGTAAGATGCTTTTCCCCAGCCCCTTTACTCTCTCTGTCAACAGTTTAAACAAGATGCTGTCACCAATTCCTTCCCTGGAATGGTTGTAAAAGCCCCCAAATACTCTTAACTTCTATTCCTGCTGTCTTTTTTACTGTTACAAGCCCAGATGGTAGCAGGGTATTTACAACATTTGAGCAACTGCCGTCCCTAGGAGATGAGTGTGGTTACCACAATGCTCAGAAATAGTTTGCAGTGGGGTTAGGAATGCCAGGACCGAGCCGTGCCAGCATCACGGTCAGCTATGCGTAATTCAGAGGAATGGAATTATCACCTGCGGCTGGAAAGCAGTAAGACTAACGTGGCTTTACTTGAACAACTTTGGAAAACTCACTGAGAAGACAGTCACTAATGTTTGCAGGCCTGTACCTTTAAGGAATGGAGGAGCAGACTGCTGTAAGACAGGAGGCTTGGACTCAGCTGATGGCAGAAGCTCCAGACTGCATCCCTCAGCACTCACAATTCAACTTCCAAATGACTGCCACACTCCCAGGCTCTATTTGACAAAGCCCAAGATTTCCTTTTTTTTTTTTTTTTTTTCAGGACTCTACCAATTTGAACAGCCTCTGGCCAAAAAACCCTCCAATTTTTCTCCTTAAAAATAATAATAATAAAAAAATCTTTAACGTCCTAAATGAACGTTCCTCTACTGGCCCATTATACAATTTTTTTCCCAAATTAGCTGATGCATTAGAGTCAACACACACATATACACTCGTATGTACACAGAGCACAACACAAAGACACCGGGCAACTGATATGAAAAGGACATTAATTTGGCATCTGACTTTTTTAAATAGTAAAAAGCTATCTTAACAACTACTGCTATGTAACTCATTGCATGACTGCATGCAATGACTCACTGCATGCTCTTTTTGCTCTAAGAACGGGTACATTTATTTCCGTTAAGCCACCATACTGCCTCATCTCCCCTCCCTTCCCCTACTGTAGGGTGCATGTAGAAAGGCACTAGCGCGGTTTCTGTGGTGTGAGTCTCGCCAATTCAGGAGGAGCAAACCCCTGACCCTTAGAGCTGGGGGGCAGAAGTCAGGCACCCCAGCACCAAGCTCTGAAGCTCAAGACTGTCCACCTTGACAGCCAGCAGCAATAGGGTGAACAGAAGAGTTTACCAGCTATTCCCCGCATGTGAAACAACACAGAAAGACTGAAGGTGGGCTGAGGGTTAAGAAAAGCAAGCAGCAAATCTCCAACTGGGGGACAAAACTGACCAAAATAGCTGAAAATGGGAAAGTTGATTTCTAATGTACATTTCACTGCAGTTTTTTTTCATATTGCCTCCCTTTTTTCTGTACTGAGAAAGGCAGGCTAGAACTACTGCTTTCTTCAGCATTCTGTCAGCACTGGTATTTAGCACTACTTAGAAGTGGCTTGAAGAAGCAACATCGTGTATTTCCTGCTGCTCCTCCTCACTGAGGACTCTTTCAGTTGAAACTATACTGCATTTTTGTTAGATTTACAGTTTCACTTTGCTTTTAAAAAGGTGCTTGAAGAATATTTTCGTTTCAAATTGAAAGGGAACATAGTAATAGATTTCCATTCTTACACTTCTTTTTTCCATGCAAATGCACACGAGTACCAAAGCACTACAACCCTTCTTCTCCCACAACTTCAGATCGCAATGGATTTCTGCTGCCGAGAAGTTCTCTTCATGTGTTTTAATTTACTCAGTCTTTACAATTCTTGACCCCCCCCCCCACCTGACAGTAACATTTGGAGATTTTTTTCATTTTTTTTTCTTTTTCTTTTTATTAATTTTTTTAGCTTTTTTTATTTTAAAGTAAAAACTTCCAAACACTTTGAAGATTCAGGAACTTGTAAAAGTTTATCAACAAGAAACAGCCATCTATCTAGGATAAGGTTAAATAAACCATCTTCAAAAAACTGGCTTCCTACCCTAGAATTCCTGAGAATGCTTGCAAATTTAAAGCAGGAAAATAAAATGTTAAAATTAAAACAAAAACACTGTTAAATGCTCCCAGAGTTAGTCTTCATCTAAAATATATATATGCACTTTTTGGTCTTTTTTTTTTTTGTATGTTTTAATTTTGTTTTTTTTCCTTTTAAGTTTACAATGGAAGAACAATTTAGCTTTTCTTTTTAAATATTTCAAATCCCTCATTACGTCTTGTAAACAAGAGGGGCTCTAGCACCCGGCTTTCACCGTAGTATCGCAATGAACTCAACTAACCCAAAGTGCAGGAAAAGGGACCATAGGGCAGGCTGGGAGAGAGAAGTGAGGGTGGCACACAGCGATGAACCAGCGTGGAGAGCAAACCGCGGGGAGAAGGGGCACTGGCTGACTCGGGCCAAAGGTGCTTCGCTAGGAAGAACTGCTGGCACAAGGCTTTTAGGAACCTGCTCTGCCTGTGGGAGTGCAGCTGGGCTTCGAGTGGAGACAGTCAGAAACAAAGCTCTAAGGATGCGTGCACGCGAGGGGCACTAGGTAGCAGGAGCTGGAAGAGGAAATTTTCATTGTGCATGGTGGGATGAAGGAGATGTGATAGAAAAGTACATTCCAACGGAGCCAGAGTATGCTGCACACTCCAGTTTACTAAGCAAATACAAACCTACTCATACTTCTTGTCACGTAACACTTTGTGTACAAATCTACAGGCATGTGTAAATGCAGCATTTCCCTCAGTCAGTCATCCTTGTGACACTGGGTTTACATAGAAAGGGCGAATTGAGAAAAGCCACAAAACTCCCCAGTCCTTCCCCCCCCTCCCAACCCACAGGCACACGCACCCAGACGCACACACACGCACCCCTACCCTACTTGAGTCTGCTTCTGCTTCTCCCCACCTATGCCCTGCTTTAATGTATTAGACACTGTTGGATCCTTCAATGAAAACGCTGGAGACTCTCCTATCCTCCCCCCGACAGGTAATAAAAACCGAGAACTGCTCCCGCTGAGGGTTGGAATGGACAGGTAGTTGCTGGTACTGAACGTCGGCACTTTGTTAGACAGTACGACGGCTAGACAACGCCACACGGATGCTAGCACTTACACGAAAAGTACCGGCATCTCTCTTCCCTCTTTTCCCAGCCTTCCTCCGAATGACTCCTGGCTTTGTGTAAAGAGATGCTCCTTCAAGGCTGCTACGGCTCTTCACAACAAGCAGTCTCGGAAGTTTGTTCCCAGCGCACACATGCACGCACACACTGGCTATCACTGTGGATTACATAGGTCACCCCTATCCTGCCCAGAGTACTACTTACACTGATGCTAAAAAAACCCCAAACCTTTCCTTAAATACAGAAAATTACAAAGCAACAGTACAGAAAAAGTAAAAACAAAAAACAAAAAGGTGCAATACTTTAAAAAAAAAAAAAAAAAAGTCTTTGCTAGTTATATACCTCCCTAAGCAAAACCACGTACACAGGAAAAAACACAACACAGAGAAACAAAAGGAAACGTTTGAAGTACACACTGGTTTAAGAACATTCGTAAGTAAACGTTTCTGTCAGTGATGGTCTGGTGCTGTAATACACCAAGGCCTGGCACAGGTAACGCTCACCGTGAAGGACGCGGAAGGGAGTCAGCTGCATGTGCTTTCAGGGGATGAGGCAGGCCGGCCAGCGGTTTGCTGACACAATTTCACTTTTGTCAGTTTTAAAACAAGCAGTAAATCAATTGAAAGGCTAATTTGGTTGGGCTGGACTTTCAAGCTTTTGATGGATTCTTCAAGAATGAACGTGGGTGCTTATTTATGCTTTTGGGGGAGAAAAGAAACTTATCTTTTTGCTAGTTTTAAAGGTTCCGAAGCTTGCAAGACAGTAAGAACATTCTTCTTTGTCACCCCAGAAATGGCAATGTCTTCTTTCCTCCCCTTTTCCTCTCTTCAGAAGAAAAAAAAATGGCTTGCATTATATAACAAACATTCTAGGGTTCACTCCATACAAAAACCCCACATGCAGACATAAATAAATAAATACACTGCTACTCAAAAGACAACACTGGCTCCCCTCTCACCAAATCCTTTGGATATGGCAGTGTTCTGCTCTACCACAGGGTTAGAACAAGGGCTAGGAAGCAACTACCCATTCAGTATGATCTGCAAACTTGAGATAGCACCCTGCTAAAATGAATTTAAAAAAAACTGACAAATTTTAATCCAGCCCAACTGGATTCTGCTTCAGCCACAGGGACTCCACCATGCCTGTCTTGTTTTCAGAAGCAAGACACGCAGATGGCCAGCCAGCCCATAGACCATCAGCAATGCAGCGTTTCAAGATTATATATAGAGAGAAAAAATGCACACACACAAATATGTGCACACGCACTCACACAGAAACAAGCACACGTGGGCAGTTACATGTGCCAGAACACACTGGTACTTATCAACCAGCCAATCACAAAGTGATGGTTTTTTTGTTGTTGTTGTTTTTTTTCTTTTTTTTTTTTTTTAATTTTTTTTTTTGTCTGTTTTTGTTTTTAAAGTGAGGCTCCGTCAAGTCTTCCCCTCCCCCCACCCCTTTTTTCTTTTGAATCCCACCCCTACCCCAACCCAACATGGTAGACCTAAGGACGGAAACACACCCAGTGCAAACAAAGTTAAAAAGCTATTTTTTCAGTATATATGTTTCTTAGCAACAACTTCCGTATAACATGAAAAAGTGAAAAACTAGAAACTAATTTTTTTAATTTTTTGTGTTTAAATTTAAATGGTATGTGTACTTGCTTCACATTGTCTTTCTAAGTTGGCGTTCATGATTCAAGTATTTCAAGAGTGATATGTTCTCTTTTTGGATTCATATTCCAAACGAAAAAACTGAAGTTATATAAGGGAGGCAACTATGTGCTCAGACAGTCTGTCAATGACCCACCTTTTTTTCTCTCTCCGTTTTCTTTTTTCCTTTTATAAATGTATTTATTGCAAGTTGAAAAAAAACGAAAAGGTCAAGTTAGTGCTGCTGCTGTTCCAAAAAAGGTCACGAGGTCAGAGTTGAAAGTTCTAAGTTCAGATTGAATCCGACCCTCCTCCCAGAAGGTCTCCAGGTAGTAAGGGAGCAGGGCTGCCCATTCTGTGTGGATCCTCTACGCTCGGGACCCCCCACAAGCTTGAAGAATAGTTTGGGGGCCCCCACAACGAAGCGCCAGTGAGATCACCCCCACTGCTGCCGCCGCCACCACTGCTCCACTGCCCAAGCCCTGTTGACCCACCAAAGAGATTCAAAGCAGGTCCAACTGGATCTGTCTGGTTCTGTCCCGTCTCCAGGGATTGCCAGCCTGCCGCGGGTGCACTTGGGGTTGCTGCAGGTGTAGGGGGCTGAGCTTGTGTCAAAAAGCGACTAACCTCCTCATCTGTGGCAAACTCAGCCAGGATGGTAGTGTTTCCCAACACACACCTGGAAGACGTAAGGAAGAAAAAAATAATTAGTCAAAGCTGGAACTGAAGGGAAGGGATTCAGAAGGTATGGAAGCAATGCTAGTTGGTGACAAAACCAAAGCAGAAATCAGCTGGCCAGAATGGAATGAGCACAGTAAATGTCAGCCATTCTCAACAGTGAAACTGACTCAAAACACAAGAACTTCCATTTTATAAAGGGCAAAAATCAAATACTCTATTGTTAACCTGCAACAAAAGCTTTCTGTATTTAAGCTAAAGCCTTGAGTATAAATGCAAAGACAACAAAAGTACATATATGGTGTAGATAAAATGATACATGCATGTATGCTTCCATTCAAACAGAGCAAGAGAAGTTTAAAAAGCCCAGGAAGTTACTTTTGTCTCCAGACCTCTCACATTTTCAAAACATACTAGAGCCACCGTGAATTCAAAAAAGTTTAAGAACTGGAAAGTAAAGAACGGTAGCTTTTCAAAGGAGCTATTTCAGGTATATCTCAAAATAACAGCAGATTCCTGCACATTTGGGTGACACATGTAAGAATGATCTAAATTTATTCATGATCTTTCATAAGATAGCCCAAACTGTACAGCAATCTGCATGTTGGTCACAATTCCACCCTGCTATGTGCACCTCCGTGGTTCTGCATTTACCAGTCTGTGGCAGTACTTAAAACAAGATAAATGGAAGGCACCCTTGTTTCTCATATTCTCCTACCAGTGAATGAAAGATGCCCTTCAAAAATGCCCGAAACGAGCTTCTAAAGCACAGTACTGGAGACACATTTTGTGTTCATGACTAGTCTAGCAGCAAACGAAGGACACTGGGATTTGCTTACATGTGCAGTGCAGTTTGGGCCTTGGCCGCCTCCTGTTTGGTGTTGTATCGGATGAGAGCGGTGCCCTGGGTCAGGTTCAGATGGAATGTCAGCAGTGGGCCATGCTGCATGCAGATCGTCCTCAAGGTTGAGCCATCGATCTGCAGAAGAACAGCCAAAATAGAAGAGACGTTGGCAACTACTTCACTACATAATTTTCTGTCTTAATAGCTGCAGTCACTAGAAGATAATCTGCTCTCACAGAGCAAAACAGGTGGAAGCAATAGAAAGAAAGCAGAGGTAACAGGATTTAATTTTTAAATAGCATCTTAGTATGCCTCAAGTTCTCGCAATTACAGTGATTACACTTCATGCAACAAGCTGGCTTATCTTTTCAGCTCATTTGTAGCTTGACTCATTTTCCCCTCCTTGCTTTCTCATTCCATCACTATCCTTACATCTGCAGGTTTTCCAGTGATTGTAGACAGGCTGTACTTCTCAGCATCTTCAGCCATTAGGACTGTGCCAGAAGAACTAGAATTTGTTAGTTTCCAGCACTGCGATGCCAGCTGCATTTAGATCAACCAGTATGTAAACAGTCTTTACAGAACTGGAATTCTCACCTCTACAATAAGGGGTCTTTTAATTTTTATTTTATTTTTTGTCTTTGTGGTTTATGAAACAGTAAGTCATAGAAACAGTTTGCTGAACCCACCAACGTTCATTCCTCCTGACTGATGTTTTCACAGCAGTTGTTGCCTACATTCCTTCTTGCAGCATAACAGCTTCTTACCTCCAGGAATTGCTGTTCTCCAAAGTGTTCTGTACAGACAGATTCTATTCCCTGTATGCCACAAGACCATGCACACACAAACGGGATCCGTATGTGCAAATACTTAAAGGAAGTGTGACTTCCTTCTTTCTCCTTTTTTCCCCTATTATACAATACAATTTCAAATGAAGGAAAAGAAAGTTTTATGTGGGTACAGATACGGGCCCAGTTAAAAAAAGAAACTGGAGATACTGCCTCTGAAGTCATGCTAATCTTTTACTTCCTCCTCTTCAATGTATCTGATCCATAACAAAAAGAGGATTTGCTAGAGAAGGTACAACTATAATCTGCTTTTCTATTGATTTGAATACCTTCAAAATATATTTCTACTCCATTAAATGATTCCTAAAGCAATATTAATCTAACTCGCATAAGGGCAGGGACTTAGAATTGTGCCTCTTCACAATTTCCATTCCTACCATTTCATTCGCATAAAGGAAAACAATCCTTTCTATGAAAGAAGTTGTAGCTTGCTATTTGGGATGATCCAAAAGAGACCTCAGTCTTTCATACTGATGCCTTCTTAAGCTCTACCAGAATTACCCTGCAGAACAGGGAACTAGGGTCTAAACCTTAGGGTACAGCTGATAATCACACAGGTTTTTCCTAAGCATTCAATACAAACTAAATGAGATCGACAAAACCACGATCCCCATAGAATTCATTTTGAAAGGAAGAGTGCTGAGAACACTTTTGTAGGAATAACCTATTTAGACTGTTTTTGGCAGGAGAGCTGGAAACACTGTGGTTTCAGAATGGAAACACCAAAGTGAAAGCTAGCAGTTATACCGGCGTTCTTATATCCCAAAGAAACAGACTCTGCTGTCAACCATTCTACATTATGGTCATGCAACTTTTCTTCACTTCTAGGAAAAACAAACCTTTCTGTTCCATTACTTTCTTTGAATGCTAGGTAAGAAAAAGCTAAGTTAGTCATCCAGAAAACACTGAACATCTTGAAGTTAAATGAAAAGATGACTACAGAAAAACCAATTAGACTACAGCCCTGGTTAGTAGAAAAGCATCTCATGCACGCTGACAAATTGATTCTACTAGATTTTAATCACAAAGAGCCAAGTGAAGAGCCCACCAACAGCTATCTCAGCAAAGCAAACAAGCTCCCAGAGACAGTAACAGAAAATACCTGTGGAGTGAGATTGTGAAGAACCAGCCAGTAACTAGGACGAACTGAGCTACCACCATCACTCCAAGTAGATGCTGCAAACAGGAGAGAAAGGAATCAAGAAAAACCTTTGAAAAACCTTTTTCTTTACAGTCAGGTCTTTCGGTCTCAGACAAATTCAGCATTATTAGCCTAATAACATATGAGAGCTGAATATTTACTCCTGCAAAGAAAAAGCACATCTTTCTTCGCATTTCACATCAGGATCCACTTTTTACCTGTTTACTTTCTAGCAGTCTCCCCCCATCAACTTTCTTTAAGTTCTGAAAGGCCCTATGCAACAGAAATTCCTCTGTTGCAACTCTTAGCCCTCTCCACTAATCTCCTGCAGCAGGACCTAGGATTTTCCCCAGCCCCCCTTTCCCCCCCATCCCAATCACTGACAGTTCATTTCCATTTCAAGAACTTAAGGAACTTTTTTCCTTTTACCAGGCAACTGCAACTTTCTCTCCTCCAAACCATTAGTGCTGTAAAACGCACACTCCTCAGGTCTGATCAATGGCGTTATCAGATGATTCTTCTCACCAGAGGCAAGCCTTGAGTCCTGTGCCCCCCAGCCCCTGACCGATCGGGGTGCTGTGCTGTTCCATGGAGATGATGGTTTGGGGTTGGTCAGGCCAGGAGGCGGGCGAGGCAGCCCTGTAGTGTTCCTTGAGGAAATATGGTTTTTCCACATCTTGTTGGAGAGATGAGTGGGATTGTGTCCTATGGGATCTGGGGACCATGTTGATTTGTAATCACTGAATTTTGCTGGAAGATTGAATAAACAATATGTATTAGAGAAACCTAATAAGATTCAACTAGCTTTCAACTACAGCATTACTGCAAATTCTTTGCAATTTCAATCACAGACAAGCACATAGCACAAAACAAAAAATAATCTGCCATAGCAAAAAACCCCATGACATGTAGTTAATCTTGGCTTATTTTACACACGCTGACCCTTGCCCCCCCCAGAAGAAAAATATTATTGTCTGCGTTAATATAACTTACCACAATATATTTAATCATTAACAACAGAAACATGAAACACCCACATTACACTACTACATTTCACTTGAGAAATCTGAGGATTTCCTGCACATTTGGGTGCTACTGATTTTAATACATAAAACTGAACTTTCTCAAGGCCCCAGACTTGTAGAGAACCAAAATGACCATTTACTGCTCTTGTCTACTAAGCTAATGCTACCTGCTAAAGATGTCATTCAATAAGATTACTGCTTTCTCACACAACAGAAATGTCATTACAGAGTGTGCACAATGACAACGCACAACGAAGGATGTTTAGCTATACGTCAACTGGACTTTAAAACCATCTTGACAGCATGCACTGAATTTATACTTGAAAACATTGCCAAGTACCTATTAGGAGAAGAATAATAGTGGGCATCCCTCACTCATTTAAAACAAAAAACAAACAAACAAAGAAAACAAGTTAAAAGCTCCCCAAAACATCACTGAATTATGGATATTTAAAAGCTCATCCCTACTGATTGTCCTTAGTAGAGTGTAACCTCTCCTATACCTCTGGACATCAAGCGATATTTATCACTCAGTAAGAAGAAATAAATCTAAGTTGAAATTGCTTGAGTAATTTTCTTTTTCCTTGCTCTGTAAACAGAATCAGCAAACAGACAGAATATCTTAGGGGAAAAGGCTCTTGAGCCATATATTATCTTAATTGGAATTCATTTATATGTTTGCAAATTCATGTATTAATCTTCTTTTACTAACAAAAGGTAGTAAATCGTTCATTTGAAATAAGAGATTAAAATCTATGCCTACATGTCACAAAATAATACATTTGGGACTGACAACATTAAAACTTAGAGCAATAAGTAAAGGCACACTTTGCTTCACATTTGGATCTATGTATTTCAATGACAGTAACTGTCAACAATACTGAGATTTCAAGCACTAACCTATAACGGTACATAAAAGTCCTTAAAAACCAAGTTTGTTTTATAGATTTGTGAATTCTAAATCCTTAATTCAGATGACCTATTTTCCAGCTGTAGAACACCGGTGTGCAGTTCAACAAGATGTGGAAAAAAGGGGATTTATGGCAGGCACTGGGTGCACTGTCTTCAATTTAGCTATGACTTCAGTTTTTTTTTTTTTTTTTTTTTTTTTTTTTTTTCAACCTTTCTCTCTTCTTCTTATGTGCTAGACAGAAGCAAGCAGATATGAGAAAGCTGATACATGTCATTCCTCCACTCAGGCTAAGAAGGAGAAATTTTTTCTGTAATTGGAATCCTGCATATATGTATACTGCTTCAAACCAACGTGATGCCACAAACTGGAAGCAGGAATACCCTTTCTTGAGAGGTAAGCAGCATTTTCAGTGTTTTGCAAAGGTGGCGAGTTATCATATGAACACTGCTTTTATCCCAGAAGCCTGAAAAACAGTGTGGGACAGATGCAGCTCTCAGCTAAGTTCACCACTTCTGCTATCCACACACAATTCTTCAGTGTTGAATAGCTGCCAAAGACAATAACGTCTCAAAAGAAAACTCCAGCATTTATAAGCAGCTCAAAATATGAATTATTTGTCTGAAACAACTATTTCCAGCTTCCTACTCAGAAGCGTGTGCTGAGGCCTTTCTTCACAAGACAGCTTTGGAGACTCTACTTACTGATGCAGACACTACTGTCTGCAGGCCAGCACTGAAAGATCCTTGCCTAAGCTTTTCAGTCCTTTGACTAAAAATTGGTTTCTCAGGGGAAATATGAGCACTACAGAAAGCAAGAAAAAAGTGTTCCCTTCACAGAACTTCAACACTCCAAATTTAAGATGAATAAAATCACCTGCTTTATTACTCTCTATATTCCTTACCTCATGCACACATTACAATGGCTCCCCTAAGTTTTTACATATAAATGGATCACATTTGTATTGGTTTTTTTTTCCTCCTATATCTACTGCCTAGTGCTATCTTGTTTTTTAACTTGCATAATTATGAATGTTTTAGTGGGAGAAGGGTAGGTGAAGGGATTTGAGTCTAGTTTCTAAAGCAACTACAACAGGTTATTTTATAATCACAAGGAAAATGATCTGATCAGCCTCTCACATCATTACTTCCAAATTTCATAAGGAGACATTGAAAAGGGTATTTCAAGGTGGAACATGGAATAGGAATTAGTGAATAATTGGAAAATGTTCTGTCCAGATAAATTTTGTAGCCTGCATACCTGAAGTGCTATGAACGTTGGTGAAGGAATTGTCAGAGGCACTGTAGGGCCAGGCACCAGGTGAAGGCAGCGAGGTGTTGAGGGAAGAATTAGACCCTATCAAAGGCAGAAAGAGAAAGAATGTGAAGAGTAGGCCAGTTGCAGAGTTAAATCTCAAGAAAGCCATGATTCATAACAATGTCAGCCTTGTACATGATACACAACTGTGGTACACAAGCACACAGGCTTCCTTCTTAGTCAAATGCAGACTTATCCTGTTACGACAGGAATATCAGACTATTCTCAAATATCAGACATAAACAATCAGATGCTGTTCACGTTTTACCTGTGGTGTTGTCCCGCAGAAGTTGGTGGTCAGTATCTACAATGGGAGATGTGGCTGTCCCCCCCAGCACACTTCCAGGGGTCACGTAGGGGTCAGATTCAGGGTCAATGTTTTGTATACCTTTCCATGGCACTCCTGGTTGGAACTCTGGGACAGGAGGAAAGAAGGAGTTAGATGCAGACAATGGAATGTCTTTACTAGAGGTAACTGTGGAGGATATTTTAGGAGGACAATCTTCCACACTGTTCCTAAAAAAAAAATAAAAATTCAGATTTCTCTTACTTAAAATTTAGTGTGTATTTCCTCCCACAGAGCTATTTCTAGTGTGTGAATACAAGCCAATACTGCAAAAGTGCTGCAAGTGCATACAGAGCTCCTTTGACATTTTGTTCAGCTAAATTCAGATGAGGCTTCAGTAGTTTTAACCTTCCTTAATACATTATATATCTGCTCAGATGCTTTCTGTGCTTACAGTGTGAGCTTGTAAATGCAACCTTAGATGCTTTGCACTGTAGGTACACACACAGTTTATGCACCACCCAGTGGTACTGAAGTAATGCTAATGCGAGGTACCTTTCGATAAAAATGTGTATAAAATATGTGCATAAGTTAACATTCTTCATACTTTGTACTGAAGACTGAACAAATATGCTTTAGCCTCTCAATTATACCTCCATGAATGTCAGATCTTTAAGACATTATGCAGAGTTATAGAGAGAATGTGAACAAAAAAATTCCATCAACTTTAAGAAAGATTAGTAACTTGGTTTCTGCTTTGAAGTAGACAGATGTTCAATTAATAAAGTTCTGTGGGCAATTCTGGAAGCCATGGTAAGAAATGAATAATGCCAAATACAAAAACAGAAGCTTCACGAGTACCATGTAACAATTTGGAGACGTGTGAAGGAAGTGCCAGGTAACAGATTAATCAGTTGCAGATACAAATGCAGAATATGGAATGATACCTTCATTCCTAACCTGAAGTTTTGAAATAACTGATAACAGAGGATCTGGGTGAAATGCAACAATATATACGGGAACCTGCCATGGAAAGTCTCATTTCAGTTAATGCTAAAACAATGCAGCGTAGTCAAGACTACAACTTTGACAGACAAACAGAGAAGAAGATGTGATAGTGATGGTTCGAACAGCTGCTGTAACAGTATTAGGGCAGTATTAGATTATGATATTGCACTGTCAGGAGAATCTCAAGAGAAGACATAAGAAGTATCCTGATGGGTCAGAATTGTGACCCATCCATCCCAGTATTCTGCCTCTGTTGGTAGCAGTTAGGGACAAGAACATAAACCTGGCCACTATCAGCAAGCTACAGACATCACACTGTCTTAGCATTTCTATTAAGGATGCCAAAATGCCTACTCTCAGCTCACACTTGCTTGTGAACCCATTTTCCATTTTTTCAACCAGCTAGAAATATCTATCTGTAGAAGCTCCAAAAGCAACACTACCCATGTTTACTACTCATGATGGAAAAAAAAAAGAAAAAACCAACTACGTTCTCACCTATGTAAAATACACATTCTCTCAGTCCCAGCACCTCTACCACAGCCGCAGCACTGCAAGGGTTGCAGAATTACAATTCTGATTTTACCTTACCCATTGTCTTCAAGATTTTATAAACATCAGTCTCCCAATTTCTTCTAACTCTACTACATAATCTACGCTAGCAGGTATCAAAATTCTTAACAGTATGAACAATCAATCAGCACCATACCAAGAAAGAAATATGTTCAGCTTCTGCCAAAACACAGCAGTCCCCTGAAGGGAAGGATCACCTTATGCTTAAAGACCACTGAATGCAGATTCTCAGGTCTAGTCAAAAAGATTTTCTCTGTTCCAAGACAAAGAATCTATAAACAAAGGTTAGGATACAAAATGCCCCTCTACTGTGCTCTTGTAAGGCCCCACCTGGAATACTGCGTCCAAGTGTGGAGCCCGCAGTACAAAAAAGACAGGGAGCTGTTGGAGAGGGTCCAGAGGAGAGCCAACAAGGATGATCAGGGGACTGGAGCACCTCCCCTATGAGGACAGGCTGAGGGAGCTGGGCTTGTTCAGCCTGGAGAAAAGAAGGCTGCGGGGTGACCTCATGGCAGCCTTTCAGTACCTAAAGGCAGCCTACAGAGGGGAGGGAAATCAACAGTATTTTGTACAGTATTACAAGTATACACAGTATTTTGTGATAGGCTGCTATAAGAGTTTTCTGTGAACTTCAGCATACTGACAAATTTCCAAACTATCCTTCAGGAATGACAGTTATCTCATGGGCATCCATGAACAGTCCCCATAGCAAATCTCTCATATTTCTATATTGTAAAGAAAACATGAAGTACATTTCTCTGGATTGTATCTGAAACCATCTCCTGAACAGTTCAAGTATAGGATTATTAGAAAAACATCATCAAAACAAATATGCCTGGAGCACACAACTGTACAATTCCTCTATGAGGAAATTATAAAATAGCGTTATCTTGGTATGCAAGCTTGTGTGATGTAATCTAAAGATGTTACTCTGATCAGCGCAGCAAAACTTGCTCTCACCTCCACCTGAGAGACCAGTTTCATCGGGCATGATTTCATTCATCTTAGTGCTGAACAAATACTGCTGTTCTGAACGGCAGAATTTCTGCAGTAGATGGCAGTCAGTAAGAAAATATGAAAGCTGAGATCAGGGTAAAAGCTGAATGATCACTGCGTATTCACTCAAAGGAAACTCACATGCATTTCAAGAGGTTCCCTCCTGTAAACTCGTTTTTATTAACAACTTGTTTCTCAACACTGTGCAGAAAATTTCCATACCAGGATCTGACAGTGAGCCTCATCTGCAAGCCTAGACAGAAAAAGGACTCACGAGGTTACAATAACCTCGGATCTTTATCCTTAATCAGGGCTGTTGATAAGGTAGATCATGATTATAGGTACTTTTTTCTTCTCAAGGAGGCCAAAAAAGCTAACAAAGCCATGAAACAGCTTAAATGGATGATGGTTATGGGACATTAACATTTGTCCCAGTAGTCTATGGACCTCATGAGAGTGGTAACAACAGAGTGACTAGTACCTAAAAGCCACATGACAAAGCCCTCAATATCTCCTATCTGAAGTCTACAATCACAGTCAAGAGCTACTAATTTACACAGGAGATGAGGGATGGTACTCATGATCCCAGTGACAGTTTATGTTCAGGATTCATGAACACCAGCTATCCTCTCTCAGTGTGAGACAGTAAATAATAGCAAAAAGTTTACATATCACTGACAGCAGGACTGCAAGCATCACTAAGGAAGCTCAAAGTCACAGAACAGGGACAAAGAACAGCTATTCAGTGCCTTGCTTCTGTAACAGAATTCTGGTTCTAATAATCTTGTCAGAGCCAACAGTCGCTTCAGCAGAGTGGATACTCACATCCCTCTTCCAGTATCCCAAGCAGTGCTGTGTTTCTCAGGTGGTTTATACGGGAACATTCTCAACTTGTGGGTTTTTTTTAAGTAACCAATGAGCCTAGGAGACAGGTCCTGAAAAGAATTAAGCCTGGGGATTCCTGACATTATGAACGTTAATTCCAGTTCAAGAAACCCCCTATGAGCAGCCAGGCTGACAGCAATGTAATGTAAATACACTTCTACAGAAAGCAGTCAGTGGTCTGAAAAGTTGTACATGTGCAGACACTGTTGAGGTAGCTAATTCTTTAACTGCATCACCTCATCAAAAAACATTTTCTTACCAGTTAGACACTGAAAGTTTCTCACATTAAAAGCTCTACGTACTTTTTGTAATCTTCTAGCTGTTTTGTATCAGTAGCACAGATTTCTAGGCTTTTTAATGCAAGGCCTGTACTGCTGTTCACCACGAGATGTACCTGTACCTTTACTTCTTTGTGCTCGAGTGGGTACACAGCAAAGGATTAGCAGCAAGGAATGTTTACTTGGAATTTAAGACTTCTCCAGGCATAGAAAAAAAATCAGTGCATCCTGCTACTTGCTGAACAATACTGGTGATTGATCCATATAACAACAGGGGCACCACTTTGGGTTTAACAACTCTTTTATGTAGATAATTATGTGTTTAAATACATTCACACTTTTCTTAGATATTCTTGAGTTTTCTAGTGGGCAAAAAATTCTGCCAATGAAACTCTACAAGACTTAAAGAATACGCCAGTGCCTGTAAACCAATGAAACTTCTGCTCAATCCAAAAGATTGCTGAAAAGTACTGAAATACACTATCACCCTTCTATCCTTTACACAACATAAACAAACACAACAAAAAATGAATCACAGCAAATAGCACAGCATATACATTTTACACCAATACTGCTGGCAAAAGAAGCCTTGTGCTCCACTGCGGATCATATTTATAAATAACTTCTGAAAGGGAAAGTTTGTGTACTGTCGAATAAAAAAAGCCAGGAGAGGAAAATCCTTTTCCCATCACCACAAGAAAGCAGTTTTTGTACCTTCTGCGTTCTGATTCCATACTACTATTAGAATTCTTAAATCCTGTGTCAGTGTAATAAAACACAAGTAAGGAATGAATATAAAAGGAAGGAGCTGGCATTATGCATTTTATGGACAAAGGTTAGATGAAAATTTTCTTAAGTGTAAAGTCACGGAACTGCGAGGGTTCAACTCATGAAAACAAAATACTAATCAGGCAACTCATCAGTTAGCTCATATTTATCAGTTAATCCATATTTAGCTCAGACATCTTTTTAACTGGAAATTCAACATCTATGTTTTAATACGCAAGACATTTAAAAAAAATGTGATAAGCCAACCAAGTACTTTCCTTACAGTGGTTACTGAGGAAAGATCCCAGCACATTTACTATAAAATTGGGACATAATCCCTGCCCTCATGTAATACCTGGAGGCCAGCTGGCGTTGCTGGATTTGCTTCCGATCTTGCTCGTCGGCGGAGATTTGGCAGGTAACCAACTATCACCAGCAGGGCCTGCATGGCCACCCAGCGGGTCGCCCTGAATTATGTCAAACTGGTTGTAGGGCGATCCTCCGCGAGCCTTTCCAGGGGGCACTATTGCACCTGAAGCATTAAAAAGACATGTTTACACACTGGAAAGGTAGGAGTCTTTATGAGAATAGGAAATGCTAAAACCAGAAATAGTTAAGATGAACAGTAATGAGGTCAGATGTTAACTAGCTGGAAGCAGTTACACCTGAGCTATTTCACCTCTGGTGAGATGATACCGTAAGAGCACTCCCAATATAGCCAATCTCTCACCATTTTTGTGCATATTGGCATCTTGTGAAGCCACAGAGGGCAGCCCTTCCATCATAGTCCACTGTTTAAAGCGGGATTCTGTTCCAGCTTCTTTCCCTCCCACCATGCCATAATCCATGCTGCTTGAGCCAAAGCCTGTGAAACAAAACCAACAAGCCATTATCATTTGCTGCTTTTTTGTTTAAATGTTCTCAAACGTGGAGGCCCTGCAATATAAATAAGGTAGAATTCAAGCATTAACAAATGGAATGTTTGAAAAGTAACATTACCATAAGCCTGTTAAGTCAGCATGCCACTTAAGGTACACTGTGACATGCTGTTTGTAGTAAAAATTATGCAGTTTTATCAAGAGCTCACATTTCTTGTAACCTTTGCTCTAGTGATTACATACAAATTACTCATTCCATGGGAGCCCTTACCTGAACCGTATCCAGGTATTTGTCCTTTGCTCTGTAAATCTGAAAGACCCACATTCAAAGGATTGGGTACCATGCTGTCTATATGTGGCTTAGGCCCAACAGGGTGGGATGGTGAATGCTTCATGCCAGGCTGCCTCTGCTGCTGCTGCTGGAGGGCACTCACCATACGAGCAATCTGCAAAAATATACAAAAACAGGGATGGTACTGAAGAAACAACCTGAAAAAGATTCAAATGCCTGCGATCTCTGACACGTACAGTGTTAGTACACTTCATGCTTTCACATGACTGACAGAAACAGTGCCCCACCTGTTGCTCCTGCTGCTGTCGCACAGCTTGAGATAACTTCCTCTGGCTCTGTAACAGCTGCTGCTGCTGCTGCTGCTGAAGGAGGAGCTGACACGCCTGCAAGACAAGTGGGGGGTGGGAAGGGTGAAAATTCAAAGCACTTGAAGGAAAATCTAACTGCCAGGAGCTGACCACCAGCCAACGCTTAACTCAGAACTCAGGCAGAGGCAAATCACTCCTCATCCCTCACAATGAAATAAAATTAACAACAAAAGCTTAACAAAAATATTAATAAAAAAATATTTTCTAACTTTACATCATGCAAGAGCATCGGCAGTACTCCCTTTATTGCTGCCACTGAGACTACAAGTCTGAAGAAAATTTCATAAAAAAATCAGCCAACTGCTTTCAATATACAAAGACATGGCTGAGAATCATTACCAACCCATGACAACGTACCCAATAATAACAGGGCTGTTCAGATTATCTGCTGGCCTCTAAGAGGGCTGTATTTTCACAAACAAGGAGCAGGAAATACTTGTACAAAAAAATCACAGCATCAGTAGAACAAAACAGAATCAGAACCGATGTAAAAAGAAAACTCAGCAGACAATTTGCAAACAGTCTGTTTCACAAGATAATTAGCTACTTACCAATTGAAACTGGGGAATCTGTGGAAGCTGGCTCAGCATGGCAATCTGTTGCGGAGAAAGCTGGGGCCCCACATTGAAAAGACCTGGATTCAAGCCACTGTTGGGGAACTGTTTGAGCATGGAGGCCGAAACCTGCATGGAAACCAATTAGATATCCTCAAGAAATACACTGCTACAGGATAAGACAATGAAATGGAGGTATCTGTATAGAAGAATAGATAGGACACCAATTTTAAATGGTGTTTGGGGAAAGACATTACAGATTTCTTAACACATGACATTTAAACATGCACAGTCTATGGCTTGAGCAGAGTGAATCTCACTCAATTGACAATATACAATATTACATGTGCAGATGCAGACACACACACACACACACACACACACACACACAGAGGTTCTTCCCCCAACCAATTAGTTACTAGAGACTACAGTAGAGTAAAATCCTGATAGGTACACAGCTAACCAGTAATCACAGTACTGCATTATCACATTAAAAACGTACTGCTTGACAAGGAAAAAGAAAGGCATTCAGGCAGTCACTGTAGCAAAGAAACAGTGCCTCACAGAAAGAGTTAATTTCTGTGTATGCTGAATAAGGCTATAGTAAAAGACAGGAGTTGGTGGAGAAGAATCCCCCTACTTCTTCCTGCATATTTGAGCTACACAGGTACTCAAGATAATCTCCAAAAGTATTCAGAGTGCAAAGAACAGCTAAACTTGTGCGGTTTGAGAGCCTCAAGTCTTCAATAAGAGTTCTGCAATGTAACTGAAACACAAAGCTTGAGACAAACCTGCTTGAAAAAAATTAAGCAGTTTGTCACACTTCAGAGAACTTTTTATTCTTTCTCTTGAGTTTGACTTTTGAATATTTCCCAAAACCCTACGTAAGACACAGGATTTCTGAATTCACCCTGAGTTTTAAAATACTGGTAGAGAGCGCTTACAACCCACTGCCTTGAAATGACAGAAGGCTAATTCTTCTGCAGAATTTCATCTCTCAATGAATATAAAATTGACAGTTGAAAGTGGTTAAAACTTTTATCTACGTTTTCTGTTTCTTAACATCAAGACTATGACAATCTCAATGATGTGCATTGAAGGCTGTAGCTCCTTCCTTTGCTTTCTTTTTTCTTTTCTTTACAAGTAACCAGTTACTTTAAATTCCTTACCTGGGGAGAAAGAAATTGGGGAGGCACTTGCGCCCGGATATTGGGGGAAGGATTTAGTGGCTGCACTGGTGTGTGCATGCCCCTCGATTGTGCTGTGCTGTTTCCAAACAAACCATGATTGCCACCCTATAAAATTAAAGCAGTAGTGAGAAGAATTCTTCAGAATAATGGGTATCTATGCTACTAGCTATTTATAAATAATGAGGCAAGTACTGACTTCAACAGAGTATTGTTTGAACTACTGAAATGTCTGCCCTAAATCAGTAGCGCTGCACCTGCATGAAGACCGCCGTACTACATTTTCAAGATGCAGGCTCTTTCTCTTCTACATTGAAGAGTCATGTTCGTGTATTTCAAAGCACATGACTAAGTTTGTGTTTTGTATTTCGCATGTAACATGTTAGGAAACAGAAACCAAGTACAAAGAACAAGCTCAAAAAACATTCCACTAGCTTAAAAGTATGGGAAGACTGTCAATGAGAATTTTTGGCCACTGTTTCAGAAAAGTGAGGTATTTTATCACACTAGGCTGTCATCACTCAAGTCTGTTACTTTCGCTGAGGGCTTTCCACTAACAAATCAAAACTCAGCATTGTCATGAAAAATTTCCCTGTGATGTGAAATATTCAGCATTCTGGATTGAGAATTTTTTGTTTTCCTATTTTTCCCTCTTATTAAAGAATAAGGTGAAGAGTAGGCAAACTCTCAAATAAGAAAAAAAAACCTCTCCTAGTGATTTTTTTCCTTAAGTAGAAAGAACACTTGCTGTTTCTTTAGATTTTTTTAATGAGAACAGTTTCGTCTTTTTAAAGGAACTTCTGTAGCAGTAAATCCTACTGTACAGAAAGACCAAGAGAACTTGTGATTATGTTCCATTATTTCAGACTCCGAGCACTTTTTCTAACATCTTTCAACAAAAAGCCACAGGAGATGTTATGGACAGTCTCATTCATGTGCAGCTGTGCATGTTGTTTCTAAAAACAGAAGCCAACACACTTCTCTCCTGTACTCTGAAAGTCCTTACATGCCATGATCCTGTCCTTTCTTCTCCAAGACCTTCAGCAACTCTCCTTCTCCACTGTATACAAGAATATACAAGAATCCCTTGATTCATACCTGCTTCTGTCATACACTATGGCTTCTGAACAGTATTTTTTAAACCCTCAGCCATCGTTCTGTTCTCTCTCCATACCAACATCACTGTATCCAATGTAAGTTCATCTTTCTTCAAACTGAAGTCTTGGAGGTCTTCTCCAAAACCCTTCCTTCCCCCGTATGTCAGAATTTCATAAGTTTTGCCCCCCTTCAGCTGGAATGCTGTGCATTCTCCACTATCCTTTGTGCCAAAACACAAGTCTCTCATTCTAATTCTGTACTGTACACTGTGGATCGCCTCATCCACCTGCACTGTATCTTCTCAATACATCTCCTCTTTCAGAAGCAGCTCAGCATGCCGTACTGAGCGTGCAGCAGGAGGACAGACAAAAAAGAAAAAAAATCCCAAGAGACAGAGAAGCCTGTATTCTGGAAAAATCTCACTGGGATCAACTGCGCATCAAATTTTTTGAGAAGCTTGGAGTGCTGCTACACTTTCAGCTTTCTCTAAAGCTCAGTGGAGCTCCAGACACCGAATTTGAGAACATGTCTACAAATTCTGGATTTAATCTGATGTTCAACACTGCATCACATAGAAACAGAGAGACAACACACAGAAACACCATCATGTCAGGCACATGACTATATAAGCTAGTCCAGTTGTAATACTCAGTTCTATTCTTTATTTCCTAGCATTCCTGCAATGTTTTCTCCTTGTACAATGCAAAACACAGTATCAAGGAATTGTCCCAACTATAATCAACCACTCCATTTCTTCCCTGCCATTTCTCCACGCACAGAACAAAACCACTGCTACTTCAATCATTTTTAAACGCTGCTAAAATCAGTCCTTTCTATGCTCTGCAGGGAAGGGAGGAAGGAACAGGCACTATGCAAAAGGACTGCAACATTTTAAAAGAAAATTTCTACACATGAGGTTATTGGGCAATCTGGAAAAATTCAGTGTGGGAGGCTGGTGGGGCAAATCAACAGCCTCTAAATAGATTTTAAAACATCAACACACAGTTCTTCACTAACTAACTTCACGACTTCTGAAAAATAAATCTGTCTGCTGCTGCACTGTGATTCAGTAAGTAAGAGGCCAACAAAACCAGAAAGAACACATTTTGATGACAGGAACCAAAGTGGGTGGTTTGATATAACTGAAATTTGTTATTTGTTTATTTGGTAGGAAAACAAGTGCAAGCAACCAACTAACCAGGATTAAGCCCAGGTTGCAGCCATATTAACAACGCATCTTATAAGGTGGCCTGCTTACTTGTCTAGCAGCGTAGTTTTGGGGACTGAGCCCTGAGCCGATTGCTCCAAGGCCGACGTTGGATAGTGTGGAACCAGAGGGAGACAGCTTGTAGCTGGGAGAAGGGGAGAAGGGAGAGCAGGGAGCCTCATCCCCAAGGCACCCATCTTGATTGGAGAAAGGCAAAGTCAGCTGAAGCCAACAGCAGGAGTTGGTTAGTGAAGCAACAGAATGCAAGAGGAGAAAAAGAGGGACGGTAAGTGACTAGGAAGAAGCAAAGTTAATTTGTAATAGCAATTACATGGACAAAAGTTCAGACTCAAACGACCACTTAACAATCACAATTCTGGTCCAAGGAGATGATCAATAAATCCCTAGAAGTTTTCTTCCAAGAAAAACATTTTGAGATGTCTGTTGCACTAATGGCTGCTACCACTACGGAAACAAACACATCTTCAGTTAACTCCCAATATTAGCATATACCTATGAACATAAACTGTTTGGAAAGCGTAAGGTTTGCTAGTGGTATTTATTAAATGGGCCACCAGAGGGAGTTGACAAAACTGTTTTTGGCCTGTTATACCAAAATGGAGGAGTTTAAAAAAAAAAAAACAAAAAACTCAGACATTAACACACCTACAGAATTTTTACATATTTTTTCCCACTTTACATATTATAAAATATATTTTAAAAAACACAACAACAAACATTCTGAATCTATTGGACAATCTCCAATTCATAATGTGAAACAATTAGTATTTGGTAACAACAGTGAAAGCTTCTACTTAAAACGGGCAAGAATATGAAAGAAACACTAACGTAACATACAACAGATGTCACAGAGAAACAGATGTCATACAGAAGCTCACAGCACACAGACATACAGAAAAAAGGCTTGCAGAATTTAGAAGGGTTGTTTCCAATGCATCACAGATATCAAAGCAGAAAAAAACGTGGAAGACTGTGATTACTTATGTTTACTTAGATCTAAAACCAATCTTTTTACAGTAGATGACTGCAGTCAGTAACCAAAAGAATCACTGTGATGAAACCTGTAATGAATTTCATTACTACCAGTAATTTACCCTTCCAAGAAAAACAAAAGAATTCCTTCCTGATCATTTAAAAAAAAAAAAAAAAAAAAAAAAAAGTCTATTCTAAAATAAAAAGCATTTTTCTACCTAGATAATTTAGCTTGTTTGTACATACCTGACTCCTCTGTTTTATAAACACATCCATTCTACAAACATAACTCCCTCACACCTTTCATTGTTGAGTTCATCCATGGTGACCGGATCTTTAGCGCTTCCAGAGGAGTAGGATTAAAACTATTACCTCAAATACTGATTTTAATTTATCTAAAGATATTTCTCTCACCTTCTCAAAATAAGGCCCACTATCTGTGGTTCCCATGTCTTTGGAATTAGGCGGACGGAACCCAGATCGATCCTTTCTCATTATGTCATTAAAATCCCCGAGATTCATGGCTCGTTTATCTACCTCGAACTTCTTATCTGGGAGACCACCTGCAGAAAAGAACAAAGAAAGCGTAATTAGTGCCAATCATATCCAATGCCTTGCATAACATCAGGTTCACAGCCAAAGAAAAAGTCTGTAAGATCAGATTTGTCTTATTTACATCTTGTATAAATCAGATTTATCTTCTAATTCAGTACAGCAAACAGTTCTCACCAAAGGATGCTGAAAAAATAAAGGAGGAAGTTTTATTTTAAGACTGAACAAACCAATTCAGGGAAGTATGAATAATTTGGTCAAAATTCTCCTGCAGTAATGTGAACTCAAACCTTGAACAACAACAATCTACTGGTCTACCATAACTTCCCTGCACCAAGTAATCAATCTCTCTCAGCCTGTAGCAATTACACAACCTGAAAGAGACGCTTTTCAAACAACTTCAAGTCTCCTGACATTGTTTACTGAGTAATGCAGTGAAGCATGAGAAAGAGATTTTAATAACAGATGAGGAAACTACCACTCGCAGTGGACAAGACATCTTTCTTTACAAGTATATCATCAGCCAAGTTGTGACCAAAGGAAGTTGCTGCCTTACATGCAACGCGGTCAAAGAACAATTCTTTCTGTCATACTTGGCACTTGGATCAGATGAGCAGTGTTATGCTGAAGTAAATGGAAAACACATTAATTTCAAAATCTAAGCTAAGTGGTAGAACCAAGCTTTATTTGTATTTTCGGTTTTAAATAATTGTGTTTAGTAGAACAGATGGCCTTTACAAGAATAGTTCAAAAAGCCTGTCACCATATTTAGCCAAAACTTCTGACTTTTATTAAAGGAACTTGGTGATGGACACGTTACCCTACCACTGACAAACGCTGAAGTCTTTAATATACACAGCAGACAATTAATGAATGTAAAATCCTGGAAATACTTACCTTCTCAAAAAAGATTCTCAAAGGCAGTATCTCCTGTTAATGTCCTATTGCACACTGTTAATACTTATAGGTCTCCTACTGCCAAGGACCTATGAAATCAACCACTAATTACATGGGTTTTTGTTTTCAGTACAGCCTTGAGAGTTGATCCAGCTTCATCTTCTCAGATGACTTCAACATCATTTATCACAAGAACAGTGACCTATCACCTCTGCAATTAGCAAGAACACTTAGGCACAAGCAAATATCACCTACATAAAGAACTGTCGAACAGGTTAAATGTTTTATCATCTTTGTAAAAGAAGACACTTCAGCAGATTTTTTCTCCTCACTGCTAACAGCTCTAAGAGACACTGTGAGAACCAGAAGATGAAACAAGAGCTTGAAAGATCAATTTCCATGCCTGATGAAGAAAAGAAGGTATTAAGAATACCTTTCTCACCACATGCACTCAGCATAAAGGAAAAAAAAATCCATAAGTATATACATACAAGTATCAATATGGTAAAAAAAAAAAAAGTACAACCAGTGTGGCAAAAGTAATACTGAAAAAAAAAAAACACGTTTGCAATATGTTTTCTAATTGACCACAAAAACTAAAACATCAGAAAGACACTGGTTTTATATTTTTGCCATTAAGTCACAATATCCATGACTACTCAGCAGCCATATTGAATTGTTACACTCTGGTTACAGCTTTGTTACGTATCTACAGTTGTATACAGTATGAACTGCATTTGAACCAAGAGTAATGGAAATGAATTTCCCAGTTTTTACAGATGAGTTGAGAATTTCATGATCTACAGAGGTTGCTTCTAATATACTAAAGAAAGAAGACAAAAGTGGCTGTCAAACAGAATGAGAAGTCAAAATACTAAGTGGTCCTGACAAGCTACTTACTGTAGTATCAAACGTCACATCTCAGGACTTTTGTCAGTAGATAAAAGCTGCATCCTATTTCCTATTTCCAAAGTTCAACAAGCTGCCTATTGAAGAGATCTGATAACAAACAAACAGGCAAGTAAATCTGCCTCAGGCATTCCACTGATCCATTTCTTTTCTCTCTTGGACAGTACAGTACCTTGCAACCAAAGCAACATATTTTTCAAACAAGACTGAGACCCACATAGTAAGAATTACTATGGCAATTACTATGACAACTGGACCTATTTTAAGAGGCGTGATGATCAGAGCCAAGTTACTCTGTGCATACAAAAGCCTACGCTTCCTTTGATACACGTGGTCTCCAAGCGCAGACTTAATGGAGTTCAATGCATATTTATCCACGAACTGGGAAAATACTGAGCAGGAGCTATCTGGCTACTAAAGCTTGGCATGTTGTAAACATGACCAAAATCCAGTTGAAGAACAAGACTACTTGATAACAAAGTCCAGCCTCTGAGGTTTAGATGTAATTATAGGCTGAGCAAACAGCTTATACTGTTCACAAGCAACATAAGCAAAAAAGATCAGAACTTCCAAGCAGAGAATAAAGTAACACAAAAGCTGTAGAAAAGTCTCAGTTACATTCTTATTCTTTGAAATAGAATACAAACTATAACATACACATGTATCTAGGATCAGAGATGTTGCCATTAACGGACATGTTAAAGAACAGATGTGCAACACATCAAGATAATGCAACCTTTCTGCAGCATTCTCACAGAATATTCTGAGTGTCTAACGCTCTTCCTCACAAGGTCTGATAGCTTTAAGATCCTCGAGAGCAGAAAGTTTCCAGGATCCAAATTAATTTGGAGACAAGGAATAAAAAGAACTATAATCAGCGTAAGTCAGGCTACTTAGAGAAATGTGACACAAGCAGAGTCTGAATGCAGAGGCCAAAGAGGATAGAAAAAAAGGTCTGCTATTTTCCCCATAACTATAAATTACTATAAAAAGATAAGGAGTCCTTAATTGTTAACAGGAAGAAAGAATTTGTGGAAAAAGGAACTTTCCTTTCATCTTCTATACGGTGTGATGCAGCAGAAAAACATCTCTTTTAAGAAAGCAGTATTCTTTAAGCCAAGAGATACTGAAAATCTTCAGATTGCATTAAATTACTAAAACTGGAGCTGATACCAAACGTACGATTATTGCAAATTATTGCAAACTTCACTACTAATGAAGATTAAAGCATGATCCAAACGATCAATCTTTTTTGGTTGAGAAAAATCCCAATTCCATTACAAGATGCGATGCCTACAGCTGTGGCCGATGCTGTTGACAGCTCTGGTGCAAAGAGGGCCAGCATCAGACCAGATGCCTTCCCACTGCCACTGATCCACATATACAAAAATTAAACTACTTCATACATTTGACTTTAACTGGACGAGGTCTGTCTTTGCAAGCAAGGACGTAAGGCAACCTTCCTGCTTCTGTAGATTCTGTAGACTGAACACAGGAAGGAGACCTTCTTCCTGTTTCTAAGTACCTAAGACTGTGCTGTTTATGTTTTTATCTTTACTGAGTCTCCAAAGGACTCAATAAAAAAGAAAAAAAGAAACTCTAAAATTGGATCATTTCTTTTAATATATGCTCTAAGGATCTTGCAGGGAAACAGCTCAAACGGCACAAGAGTTCAGAAACGTGTGGTATTTCTACCACAATACAATGTCAGCGACTATTCAGAAACAATCTGAAAAAAAACAAAATGTAAAAGCAAACTTGATTTCGAGAACAAAAAAATTCTGACAGTTTACTTTGCAGACAGTCTGCCAAAGAAAAAAGTCGTGGCAAATTCCAAGGTGATTAAATAGGATTAGGTAATACAGTTAATCCAAGTGGTCAAATTCAACTTCTCATTTAGGTTCATGCTTTCCCCTTGCTCCACTCCACTTAAGCAGCGCAGGATTTGCGGTGAGGTTATCTATAGGGAAAAATCTGGTTCTACTGAGCAAATAATTCATAATAACCTGAGGCAAGCAACTGAAGAAATCACCACAGATAGTCTCAACTTGCAGCACCTCCAGGGACCTAAGCTAATTGGAACGTCCTACTGTCAAGAGCAACAGGAAAGAAAGACCCTCACTTTCTTGACATTGACCATGAACATGAACTGCATAAATCAATACAGTCTCTTAGGATGCCCCTTCCCCAGGTTACAGTTGTGTTCTATACTGGTATACATCCCAACTTTGCATTCTAGCACTGGCTGTGTAAGTATTCAAAGCTTGCAGCGAAGATATCAGATGGCATCTATCACCATGTCCCTCTCTCATGGGGAGTGCTAAAAAGTAAGGATCAAACCTTTCCAAAGGAAAGCATATCATCTACATGAAAATACTACATGTGGTCTCATATTTCAATTAAATTAAATCATACATACCTACAGACAAGTCCATCTTATTGCCCGGAATGTCCTCAGTTTGACTCTGGAAGAAAAAAGAAAGTCAGTTCTGACTTCTTTGAAATGCTGAGGGATTTTTCTGAAAGGAGCCCTTGATGGTTAAAGGTGTAATGAAGGAAAAACATGTTTGTGCCAACTGCAGTTCCATTCTAAACTATAATTTAGCACACAAAAACTCCTGATTTCAGTTTGGGCACACCTCATCCCAACCCCTCAGCTCTGTATGTGGCGAGTTTACAGAAATGAAACCAGACACACAACACAAGAAACAGACAGAGAAAGATGGACAGACAGCTGCTCTGTGAAATGAACCTCTGTCCTCATGTTCCAGTGGTCAAGGGAAGAAACACTGAAAATAGCGGCCAAAATGATAGCTCATCCTCATGACCCGTCCAGTCATCCAATCTTGAAATGCGCTGCCAAGTTACTCTTCAGTTGGCAGTCTGGGACAGTGTGTTCCCATAGCTTTCAGAAGCATCTACGGTCCAGCAGACTCAGTTTGAGCCTTGCAGCCAAAAGTTTGTACAAACTAATCCTCGCCCTGTTAGTGACAGTTTGCGCAGCCCTGGCTTCTCACACAGTCTCTACATTATGATCTTTTGCTAGCAAGTATTATTGCTCCTGCATCAGAGTATTACAGGTGGTGCAACAGTTGGTAAAATATTTGACACAGGGACCACATCAGAAGTTCCTCAGCATTTCTGTGTGTCGGTATTTTTATAATATACTGTTTTGCAGATTGGTCTTTTCTCTCCATGACATCCCTCACCTTTCTAATTCATCCTTAAATACCATTTAATATTGAGCTCTTTCTGTCCTAAAAAAAGACCCTGCTGCACATTACTTAGTAAAAATAATTAAGACACAGCGTTGCAACTCTGCTTCTCTGGGAAATGACTGAGCTTCAGAAACCTGAAGAGTCCTGGAAAATCATAGACGTCTGATGATATAACCATGAGCTGAGGCCTCTATCTGGAGTGTTCTGAACAGCACTTTATGAAAAGCCACCAGTTACAACTGTCATAAAGCAGCTTTAAAGTGTGTAAGTTTGTGGGTGCTTTTTTTATTATTTTATTTTTAAGGAACCATTCTTACTAGCAAGAAGTTCTGGATACCCAGCTACTACTGATATTAGAGCAACATGCCTACAAAGCAAATGCAGGGTAAAAAGCAACACACTTGAAAGTGAGCCATCATCTCACCGATTTAAAACTTACAGCTTTTTTTAAAAATTATGTATTAAATTCATAAAAATTCACTTACTAGCAAGCCCATATTTGAAAACTGTTTGGATATGGGGTTCATCCATGAATCACTATTTCCTCCTTTTAATGAGCACTAAAAAGAGAAAAAAAAAAACAGACATTTTTAAACATCTTTTCCATTCCTTAAATTCTGTTTTATCCCTGCGATGCGAAGTGTTGAATGAAAATCCTAATATCTGAGAAATTTATCTCTGTAACAAACAGCTTTACATTTTTTGCGCAGCTGGAAATGTTTACGGAACACTTTTTCTTTTTCCTTATAGAATTGCACACTTCCAGGTATACTGAAGCAGATGAATACTTGCTGTTTAATACATTCTTTAATCCATCACAAAGATCTTTCCTTGGCTTTCTTCCCATCACTATGGGCTCTCTTTCATGGGCACTGTGCTGACCTGGCCTTACTGCAACATGCAGATAATCAAAGTCAAAACTGAATCAGTCAGAAATCAAATTGATTTTAAAAAACAAACAAAAACCAAAAAACCTGCACAGTTCCTTTGGAGGTTAAAAAAAACAACAACCGTTAAGTGAGAAAAAAATTCATGAGAATAGTTATTCCAAAATAGGAATTGTAAAACCCCAAACCATCCCACAAGAGTATTTCCTCGTCCTTGGAAATTGCTTTGCTCTCACCTTTTAAGCCTGCCCTGAATATCTGATTAGAAGCAGAGAAAGCTCAGTCCCTCTAATATTAATACAACATCAAATGTTACTGTTACAGAGAACTTTAACATGTATACAAGCCTTAGAAAGCAATTCATTTAGGACTGTAGCCGAGATCCTTGTCAAGGCTGAAATTTAACAACAAACACAAGTCAGACCCAAATCCAAGCAGAAACTGGAGCCATGTAGAAACTGGAGGGCATGTGCCAAAGGGCCTGTGGATTCTGAACTCCAGCAGGCTATGCAAGCAGAACAGCAGCAGTTTAACAGATGTGCCAAGAACAGATGAGCAACAGTCCTGAGATACTAACCGCTCAGTTTCATTTAGCAATGGCTCTGCAGCCTTCATAGCAAGAGAATATGACACTTTTTGGCAGACCTATTAGTCACAACAGGTGTAACACATTAGAACAAATCCAAAAACCTCGTATTTTTAATGCTGCTCTACCAGGCACCTTTCTAGCTGAATTCTGTATGATACCTCTTAAAAGAATAATTATTAGAAATGCTCTAACACATCAGTCACACTGCTTTCAGACAACACTGTAGTTATGAATCATTCGAGTGTTTTACCTTTATCTGTGTTTTCTTTCCTCCTTGCCCCCAGCTTGTTGAGTTGTGGGAGGAACTGCTTCCCTGAGAGCCTGCTGTGTTCCAGACTCCTCCCTCCTCCTCCTCTTCCCAGCTGGAATGACGCGTGCCTGTTACTGGCCCATCACTCTCTCCCCAGCCATCTTGCATAGATTTAGAACCTTGAGAAGAAGAAAGAGAAGCTCAAAAACAAGCCCACAATACCATGCAGCAGGTGACTAGATGCTGCATTAGCTGAAAATGTCAGAACTGCAAAAAGTGAAAAACAAAAAGTGTATTCGCTCCAACAGCAGTAAAAACTTGTGTATGGACTCCACAATCCAAGAGATCTGGTGGCATGTTAGTATGTCTTATTTTGCAAGAATTCTCAAGCAACATCAAATCCTTAGAAGAAATAATGATCAACACAAACTTCTCTCTTGCAACTACTGCTGCATTTGGATTCTTTAAAAGTCAACCGATCACTTTCTTATGTAAATGAAAGACTCCAAAGACACTTAAGAAAAAAAATCCAAAGGGTGCTGAGGACTCTGACTCCTGATTTGTGAATAATTTCCTGCCTTCCTTTAAAACTGTACCACATATCCACCACGCTGAATCCTTTCACAGAACACAGAAATGAAGAACTTAAAAGAGCAACAACAAAGCAGAATCTGAAGGAAAGGACCTGACATTGTGCTCTGACATAAGCAACACCAAAACAAGTTTAATCCCTCAAAAATCTCTTTGATTCCCAGCCTTAACAGTAGCACTAAAAAGACTCATTAGCAGTACTGTTCAAACAGAGATATCATTACCAGAAAGTTGGGTTCCATCATACAAACTCATGCTAAGGGCTTTTTGTCCCTGTTGCCTCCTTTTGTTGTTACTCTCTAATAACAGCCGCCACGAAACTCAGAATTTTAAGTCTTCTAACAAGCCAATAAGAGCCCAAATCTTTTTCTTGTCCACTGCCCAACCACTTTCCTTCCTACTGCAACTTCTCCATCTGTGCATTTCTTCCCCAGGCACTCATCTCCTTTAGAAAGGAACTCTACCATCATCACCTTCTCTTCACTAATCCTTCAATTGTCTGGGTTTCGAGAGTGGAAATGAGGAATAAGAATGTAGCAGGAAATCTCAATATAAATAGCAGTCAGGAAATGTATTTAATCTATCAAGGGGAAATCTGCCTGTATCAGGCTGAAGATAAGTACAGCAGCTTTTCATGGCAACTTAAGAGCTACCTTAGATTTCACCACAGATAACAACTGAACTACTTCACAGGAAACTCAACCTTTCGACACACTTTTGTGTACCAAAACTCAGACCTGCTTAGGCACCACATTGGCCCAAGCATAAAAATCTGCCTTTTGATCCTTTAATCATGCTACTTACACAGAAAAAGCTACAGGCTTTAACTTACTTCCAGCCAGTGTTTAAATATAGTCCTATGATCCTGGTTTTAACTACATGACCAGAGAGAATTTTCTGCATTGACAGCTCTCAGGTCTGAGACACTTGAACATGAATCAGAACAGAAAGAAGCCTTCCTTGTCAGCAGAGCTCCTGCTTTATTTTTTTCACGTGCTGAGTGAGAAGGCACAATGACATATAGTAAGAAAATGAAGCTCTGAAGGTACCAACACAATTATGTTGTCACAAAAAAACCAAACAACTCCTGTCAGAGAATTCCTATGCAGTGCTGATCAAACTTTGTAATTTTAATTTTTTTTTAACAAGCAGGCAATGAACTAGGCTCAAGTTTCTGCACGTGCAACTTAAGGTCAGATGGAGCTACAGCACAGTACAATTGAAATGCTACATGCAGTTACACAAAGGTAGGTAAATGCAAAACCTCCAATCCTTAGCTAGCCAGATAAAGAATTCAAAATCCAAGTAAGTTTTCTCAAAATCCGCGTGCCTCTATTCATCAAATGCAAAACGGAGCTCACACCAACCACACTCAACAAATAACCAAAAGTACTTGGTTGCTGGACAACTGGATGTAATGACACCACAGGGCAAAAAAACCCATCAATCCCGTTTTATGCTTGGAGTATTTCAGGTCCTACACAAAACCCTTCTTTCCATGGAAAGCCATCACAGCATATGTGATATAATGGAGCAAATCAACATTTCAGAGACTTTAAACCACATGACTTATCATCATCGTTTAGTTTTTATATAAACCTATCACGATTGAAAAAACACATCAAAAACACAATCTATGAGACAGAATCATATGGACACTCACATGACTTCAGTTAAGCTGAAACCTTCACACCAACTGCACAGACTCCTACCACCGGAGTTAACAGTGCTGTGAATAAGGACTGCTCTTAGCCAGCACTGTAGAATAATGGGATATAATGCCAATGGCTTTCACAAGCAGCAGTGGCACAATTTCTGTCTTGACCTTACCTATGCAAAGTTAAGAACAGAATATTCTCTGAATGTACAACTGAGCACTCTCCCAAGTGGTAACTTTTACTCTGCCTCACGTTTCTTTACTTCAAGCAGCTTTCCTACGCTAAGCTCTACGCTGTTTGGTTGCATGATTCTCTCCTGTCCTACCTCTTCTTCATAATACATACAGGACACCTATTTTCACAACCTTTTCTGCTCATTTAGTTCTCTTGGGGTTGGTTGGGTTTTTTTTGGTCACACCTCACCTCCCACTTCCTTCTTTGGCTCTCAACTGTAATTTTCTTGTCCAGCTGATGCTAGTCTTTATTTCCTCTCTTTACTTTCAACCATAAATTACACCTTTGCAGGCTTTTTGCCAAATTTCCTTTTCCAGCTTACCCAAGATACGAAATATCTCCCCTTAGTCCACTGAATAATGTCGTTTTCTCCTTTGTTCTGTCTGGGTGCCAATTAGAAAGGACTTGATAGAGCATTCACAGTACACAGGAGAACGAAGATCCCAGTTCTTAATGCTGGTGACATATTTTAACAGCCAACACAGGGAAAACCCCCTGTATTTTGCTCTTCCTGAGGCAGAAACAGCTTATATACAAAGCACATAAACATATGCTGTAGCTTTTTGGTTATGTCACCATATGCAGACCAGCTAAGACAAGCAAGTGACTATTTGTAGTCTTGGAAGACTATTTTGAACATTAAAAAATCTGTGGATTTTTAAATGGATTCTTAATACCTCAGAGGCTCTTATTTTGGCTACATTTAAGTGCCTTTTCACAAAGGAAGGAAGATGATCCATCCAGAAAAATTCTAGCATCCTGAAAAGAGCCAAATTTGTCTGATAGGTACAAGAAGCACCACGGCCACCCAATAAAGGTTTCAGTAGATGTTACTGGAATTTTCCAGTTTTGTTTCATAAATAGCCTAATTGTTTGAGTGTGGGTAAGAGCAAATGACAGAACAGCAAACAATCCTTACACAGCATTTCACCCCAGACAATCACATGCTGTAAGAGTAACTTGTCACTGCAAAATCTTACCACTGGTATAACCACTGAAGTTCAGAAACAGTGAGTATTATCAGTATTTCCTAATGGAACCTTAATAACCAAAAGTCACAGTCTTTGGCTATAACACTGCTATGCTGTATCAGAGGGAGATTGCTTTGTTTGTCCCATTTTCCTTAAGAGCAGCGAAACAGAAGTTCTACCAACAGTTTACATCAGGAATAACTTCCATACAAATCAAACTTGATACAGTAGGATTCTAACTTCAATGTAATTTTTTTTTAAAAAGATCTCATTCATGGAGAAGCATAGCTGCAGGCAGGTAATATCTGGAAATATTCAGCCATTTAGGTTAGGCCACAAGGGGAAGGTCGATTTATGAGTTTTTCACATTCATGCAGCAAGAAAGTCCATTCAAAGGCACTTCACACACCTCTACTGTGAAATGTTTCTATAAACTGCACATTCCTTTTCCTGATGTGATCAGAAAAGGTAATTTACCACGTAAAGAGTTTGTACAGTGTGCAGACAGAGAAAAGATGACGTGAGAACAAGAACTGTTTCCTTGCTCAGATGCTCTAGTGCTTCAACACTTGCACAAATCAAAGCTGTCCGTTTAAGCACCTAGGTGAAGAACGTCTCCGTTACCTTAAAGGTAAGTATCCAGTCATTGGTAAGCACTTAATCACTCATCCACCAATATCTTACATTACATTCAGCATTGCTTCTAGGCCTCAGATAACAATTCCTCCATGGGTGACCTATATCAAAAAGCCAAACGCTAGAAGTCTCCAGGACCACTGCAAATGAACTAGGATCTGTCCTATACTCACTAGATTTCATGGCATTCGGGGCGTTGGAAGGTGCATTCCCCCAGCCTGTTGTCGATGCTCCTGTATCATCTACTTCACCCCACCCGGGACTGGTTTCATTTGGCTCACCCCAGGCGGACGTACCATTATCTGGAGCAGGCGGAGTGCTTTTGCTCCAGACTGCACAAAGGAGAAAGAGTTTTCATTACAGACCGTTTAGACAACGAACTATTTACTGCAGTGCAGCACCATGTCATTATTCTACTGCATTACGTCTGCTGAAGACTCTGAGGTCTCAATAGCTTGGGTGAAACAGAATCAAAAACTGTTCGTATCAACTGTTCATGGTGGGCTCTGAGCTTCAGGTATGAAAAAAAAAGAACATAAGGATGAATAATATTCTTCTCTCAGGTTAAATATGAACCTAACCCTATTTTGTCTTCTGGTGAACTTCTTTTATTGAAAGCACCAGACCATCTGGGGTTTTCATATACTGAAGAACAACTAAGAACATAACAGTACACCTCACTTATTTCCACGCTATGTAGGATTGATTTCTTGATTATTTTTTTTTTGTAATTATTATTTCAAAGAAGAAAATACTTCGCTAAATATTCTTCATCATACAGTAGAACCAAATTGAGCTAAGAAACTAAACCACATGCTCATGCAGTGTCAACTGCTATTAACCATGTTTCAAAGCAAACAGTTTTTGACTCAAAACAAATACAGAATTTTTCCCTGTTTCTCTAGTAATTAAATAAAAGTTCTGTAAGAATTCAACCCTTCCCAGATAGAATACTTGCCAGCTAACACTTTTTTTTTTTTTTTTTTTACTGGCAAGCTGACCAGTCTTCAGATCAAAGTTAAGGCACAATAAGCAAAGGACTATTTGATTCAAATTAATGACACTTGAATTCAGGACCAAACATGCAAGTAAGAAATGGCTTTTCATTACGAAATAATGCTATTAGCTATAGGCTACAAGTGTACCTCTTACGCAGAAGGGTTACGATCATAGAAATTTGCTGAAGAAAGGAATGAGTACCTGATGCTTGTGATTTGCTAGTCATTGGAGTAGGCAGGCTCTGTTCCCGTGGGGCCTGTCCTCCTTGTGAGTTCTTGTCCCACAGGTTCACATTCTTGTAGTTATAACTGCTAGGATCTCCCCACGCTGAAGTGCCATCATCAATATCCATTTTCCGACTGATTGACTGTGGAGAAGGTTCTTCCCAGCCACTAGGCTCCTCGTCTTTGGGGGCAGCTGGCTGTGGTCCGCTGTTCCAGTTTGGGTTCGGAGGTCGCCCATTACTTGGAGTTTGTGGCGGTGGACCCCAGGAACCAGAAGTCTCCTGCTGCTGCTGCTGTTGTTGCTGCTGCTGCTTGTTCCAGGAGTTGGGCTGTCGACCCGTCTCGTTCCACGTTGAATTTCTTTTACAATCGTCCCAACCACCCTTTGAAGCAGAGCCTGTATTTGCACCATTACCCCAAGTTCCAATCTCATTTTGCCCACCTTCACCCCAACCAGATGCTGGCTTATTTCCTGCACTTTCCCAGTTGCTGTTTTTAGCTTGGTCAACTTCCTCTCCCCAACCGTTCTTTCCAGAAGACCATCCTTGATTAGGCTGCCGTCCACCCCACCCCTGATCCTTACTAGAGCTGTCATTCCAAGAAGATGATGATTTCTCTTCTTGTCTTCCCCCTCCCCAATTAGATGAATTGGGGTTCTTATAGTCATTCCATCCTCCAGTATTTTTGGGGTCCTTCCACTCTGTTGGGGTTGAGAGCTCACCCCATCCAGACTTGATTTGATTGCTTTGGCTGGGTACATCGCCCCAGCCCCCTGAGTTCTTTGTCTGTGTGGCAGAGCTCTCCCACCCCTCAGTTCCTTTGTCAGACTTCCCCTCAGGCCGTGGCATCTCTTCAATATCCCATACGGTATCTTGCTTAATTTGTGTTTGGCCCCAGCCAGTGTTTGAAAGCACTCGGGGGTCCAAATCAGTCCTGCTCAGCAAAGTCTGCAAGACTGCCTGGCAATCAGGATGTGTAGGCCTATATGATCGGCGTCCAGAATTGTGACTGTCACTACTTCCTGCTTTGTGGTTGCTTCCAGTGCTTTGACCTCCAACCTCACTTCCTGCAGAGCTGGAAGATCTTCCCCAACAGGGAGCCTGGGAATTGCCTTGGTTTTCAGGAAGAGGGTGGCCTTTTTGATTGTCCCATGCTCCAGTGCTAGAATTTGGTTGGTTTGGACCACTCCATTCTCCAATCTTCAGTTCATCAGACCCAGACAGCTGTTTCCATTCTCCCTGAGAGACCCCAGATGTTAATTTGTTCCCTTCACCCCATTTGCTTTCATTTGCATGCTGAGGGCCAAAGTTCCAAGACCCACCACCCGTAGACCGGTTATTGTTATCCCAAGAATCGCTTCTTGACCCATTAGATTTTTGAACAGAAGCTCCTTTCCAGGAGTCCTCCCTATCCTTTCCATTGTTCCCATGGTTTCCAGAATTGCTCTGTCCAGAGACTGTGTCAGTTCCAGAAGACCCCCTAGCTGTACCCCAAGACCCAACACTCCCAGTCTTTCTTTCTCCAGTGCTTTGTGAAGGGGTGTCAGTGCTCCTGGAAGGGTTCCCCAAGCCCATTTCAAAGGGCATTCCCTTATTCTCCATAGGGTTTGGTGAACTTAAGTTCAAGGAGTTAGTGTTTCCGTTTTTTGGTCCATCAGTGTTATGAATTTGAGCCTGTTCTCTGCCAGAGACAAAGTTAACACCCGCATTTTCCATCTTTGACTGCTGTTCCCTAGAGGTCTGACCTACTGTGCTAATCTGTGCATTGGAGCTACCACTATCAGATTCCGAAGTCCCTTTCCTAGAATTGCCCTCTTGGACCAGTGCTGGCCAAGCAGACGGGTTGCTATTTGGGTTAAAGTTGCTGAAGCCAGAACCAGAACCAATTCTATCTTGTCCAGTCAAGTTCCTCCAATTACTTAGTCCATTGTTACTCTCGGCAGCAGGGTTGGAAGATTGAACAGATTTAGCCTTGGGATCAGATTTCCAGGCCCCAAGATTACATTCATTTCCAGCGCTTCCAGACTGGCACTGGCTTCCTTTTCCTTTGTTACTAGTGGTGCTTCCTGGCAGAGTGTTCTTCTCCAAGCCAGGGTTCGAGGCACTGTTGTTATCGGTGGTGTTTTCGGAAGAAGACTCAGCATCTTTGCTGGCGATACAAGGCCACTCTTCCATGTCAGACCCGTCTACAATCACCTTGTCCCAGATGTGAGTTGGGTTGGCGTTGGTGCCGCTGTTGGAGGAGGCTCCAGGACCCCAAGTGGAATTTGCATAATTTGAAGCAGCAGCACCTCCAATTGTTGAATCTAAAAAGAAAAAAAAAGCATAAAAAAGACCCCAAAAGGCCATTAATATTCAATACTCTCTACAAACACTGAACATCACGTTTTTGACACCACTGACTATCGATTCGATTAATACATTGATCCTATTCTCATGCACATGTCACAAAGTTGCTTAGGAAGAACAAGAAGCTAGAAAACACCATTAAAAATGCATTTCAAGAAATTCCCCAGAAGCAGTTTGCGGGCATCTGAATTACGGTTAAGTCTCTCTGTGTCTTACAGACCAGATGATTCAAGTTCAACACAACGACTGCAACTCACTAAATGAACCTGTATGGTCACTACTGGCACTAGTTGTAGACTTCTCAAAAACAGATGAAATCGTACTATGCGCAGAACAAGAATATATATGTGCACACACTTTTATGCATGCATGTTTGTATAGTCAAGTAGGAGACTACATGATGGAGTTCAAGAAGCGTACAGTCTGATTTTTGGGTGATCCCACGTGGAGCCAGGAGTTGGACTCAGAGGTCCTTATGGGTCACTTCCAACTAAGGATACTCTATGATTCTGTGACCGATTCAACAAAGCAACCAGTATTTCTGACAGACAGAAAGGTAAAAGATGGAAAACATAAAAGGAATATAAAGCTGAAGAAGTATATCCTTTAGCTTCAGATACATCTTTTTTTTAAGTTGATTTTGCTAGCAGAAGTTTCTTTACACCCTTACAAAACAAAGAGTTTTCTTTCCCAAAGCTATGCTGAAAGGAGTAAACCAAGACAAATTATAATTTCTCTGTAGTAGCATGCAAGCTGTACTGAGCTTAATTATTCCACATTTCTATCACTCTACCACATAAATCAGTTTGTGGTTTTGTGAGAAACTGAATCAATCTCTCCACCGCTAGACAAAAGCTAACAAGATATCAAACATTTCCTCCTCTCTTTTAACTGATCTACTCCAAATTTGCCAAGTCTCACCTCTCATTTGTGACAGTTCCAACAGCCCTTTAATTAAGTCAACTGTATTCACGAACTCAACAGCACACTGTCCACTTCCTGATATGCTAGCTTTTGCTAACACTGCATTGTATAGGGCAACCTCCAAGTCCAATAACTCTTAAGAGTCAGTGAAAGAAAATGACAGGAGAAATGACAAGGAAAAGGACCACAACGTCAAGGTATTTGTATACAGTTTTAAAGCACACAAATTAATAGTGCCACAATGAAGCCTATGTCAATGCTAACAGCATAATGTTTGCATACGTACAGACAGTCCTCTCATCAATTTAAGAAGTCAGGCAAGGTTTTCGCTTTCACCCAAAGTTACCTTTGCTCATCTAAATAATTTCATTTCATTTCTACTTCTATGTGCTTCTCTATATAGCGCCATTTACTTTTCTACACATCCGTAATACAGAAGAACTTGAAACTGCCCACAAATTTTCATGAAGAGTGAACACTCCCCGTTCTACAAACTCATGCTGAACGCTAATAAAGTTACAATGACTTATAAAAACAGTTGATTTTTTAAAGTACATGTGTTATGTACTCAATAGTGAAGACCAACATTTCTGATTACTATTAGTAATAACGAAAGCTTTCAAATTTGATGAACTGAAGTCTGTCTTCATCCATTAACCCTAGGCCACCAAAATCCAACAAATCATGCAGTTCCCATGCTCACCCTGTTCCTTCTGTTATTTTAATGTCAATTGCAAACTTAAGAAGGACAAGGAAGTGCGACTCCATCCTTTTAGTACAGTGAGTAACCTCACCCTTCCCTCCTCTTTTTTTTTTTCCAATTAAAATCATTTACTTTTAATGATGAAACTGAAATAAGTGAAAGTACTGAAATGGAGTCCAGAAACAAAGTGAAAGATTCCGTTTCGGTGTGAGAGACCATCTGGTGATTCCTGGAGGATATTATGATGACTGAAAGATGTTCACCAATAGAATTTAAGCTTTGTTTTCAAAAAATGTCTTGCACGTTCTGAAGGTGACTCCTAGTAGAAAAACGATATACAACCCTCTACCTGACAGCACTGCTACAAGACAGTAGTAAGCTTGGTAAACAGAAGTCATCTTTCAGGGGATTAGGGTTTTGTCATCTTACACTGCATTCCAATTCTGGCAGGCAAACATACACGTGAACAAGGATTAGGTCTTGACCTTCTATATTAATAATTGCTCTTGCTGTAGTTGTTCAGCTCTGTTTGTTTTCCCTTGTTTTCTATAGAAGCTGCACTGCTACAGGACAGCAAAATAACAATTTTTTAAAAATGGATCAGTTACTGGCAATCGAAGACTTCACCAACACCACCTATTGCCATTTGGTGAATTTAACAATGAGAAGAATTACCTAAATTATTTTCCCCTTTGGGAATCTGCCTTCTTGAGTGCGTTTGTGTGTGTGTGTGTGTGATGAGTTCATCATAATACATGGCTGCTTGACAAAATTAGGTCCAAATCTGACACCCAATTTTGAAACAGCCAGGATCTCCCGGAAGGAACTGGTGACAGGAGAGGCACGGCAATATCATGCTTCCATAAGCAATTTCCTGAAGCCTTTTAAGTGTGGCACTAACCTTCCTCTTAGACAGCTGCTCATTTGCAGTCCTCTGCCACACCTACTCCCATGTGCTATCATCCGTGTTGCTACTGACAGTCAGCGAGTTCAACTGGGAAATTATCCAGACTGAAATGAGCTTTATACACCAACTTGGGTTAATTTTAATCCAAGTCAGCTCCTCGGCCCAGATACTGTGTTATGGTGCAGAAGTGTATTCGAATAGGGTGAGGCAAGTCTGAAGGGCACAGATCTTCCTTGGCAACACTCCAGACTTGCTTAAGACTGTGGCCATAAATGTTGCCACAATCAATAAAATACAACCATATAACATAATCTCAGTAATTGAGTTAAAGCTGAAATATGAGAATTCATAAAACTTGAGGTCAGTCTCAAAACCAAATAATAGCTGTTGAACACATAATAATTACACAGAACTTAAGAAGTGTATAAAACACTTCAAATTGGTTTGAATGAAGCTCAATCAAAATTTTAAAAATTGCTGTTGGAAGAAATGAGAAATCTTGAGTATTTTTAGAATGTTTTGCTACCATAATGTCTCCTCTGTCAGCCTATCACTGTGAAGATACGCTAATGCTGACATAACGCTTGGATTTTATACCTCAAGTATGAAAACTTCGGGCTGTTGTTTGTTGTGGTGGTTTTTTTCCTCACCATTCCTCTTTCAGGTGTGTTTCTCAAAAACAGCCATCTCTCACTGATATATTTTAAAACCAATTAGCTAACATTTTTCTGTTTTAGCTTAAAACTTGCCCACCATTAAACAGGGAACATGAGAGACAGTAAGACAAAAAATCTGTCAAACAGTGATTCACTACCAAAGAATTCAAGTGTGGAAGAGGCAAAACAAACTAAATTATTCATTTTCCTAGGAACTTTTTAAATAGAAACAAAACCACCTCACCTCGCTTACTACATTCCTGAGTTTCAAATCAGCTCAGAGTTCATCTTTTTGGGGACTGCAGAGAACTAAAAAGTTTATGCTCTCAATGATGGGTAAAATAACCCACTCTGTTGGGGCTTTCAAAACAGACGTAATGGTAGCATTTTTCCTTTTTTTTACTTTATTTTAAATCCTGATTGTTAGAACTGAAGTGTCCGTGAATACTCAGATCAACTAAGCTTTTCTTTAGATGTCCCAAGTGGACTTTTCTTTTTCTATTATTCTAAGTTAAGAAGGAAATATTACTGTTACTGCAATCCCTCAAGCTACTGAAAAAAAAAAAAAAAAAAAAAAAAAAAAAAAACAAAAAAAAAAACAAAAAACAAGAGCAGTCAGTAATTTTTCTGTTCTCAATGACAGCTATTAAATGCTACCCATTTATCGCTATGCTTTATTTACCTCGTTGTGGTCCAAAGAGCCCTACAGTACCCAATTCAAACCACTCAAAACGTGTACCTTTAAAAAAAAAAAAATAATCACCGTTCTGGTTCCAGACAGCAGTAAAAATTGCATACAATGCTGCTATCAGGAAAGGAAAAGCGTTTGCGCTAAAAGAGCACGAGTCAGCTTTCCAAAATTCTGTCAGAGCACAATTTCAGTGATCCCTTTTCTTAGGAGCACGCACGCACGTGGACGTAACGTCACCATTCTCACTCACCTGTTGCAGTCCCACTGTCGCTCTGCAGCAGTGCTCCTGTCACTGGTTGTGCGTTGTTGGGGTTTGCTCCCGGTGCTGTCGGGGGAGGAGGCCCTGCTCCACCCCCAAGGAGCATACAGGATGGTGGAGGGGGCTGCCCACGTTTCAGTAACACTTTGTGGTCCTGCTGGCAACGGAATCGCGGCGGCACCTCCCGAGGCATGTAGCGGGCGGCGCTTGGCGGTTGTCCGTTCGGCACTGCCACCCTTTTGGCATTGTTGCCACCATTGACTGGTGGCGATGGAGAGTTGCCAATTGGGCTGGCAGCCACTGGTTGGCTTAAACTTGGTTTCGTCACTTCGGGCACTGAAAAACAGGAAAAATCAAAGTTAGGCAGTCTTCCACTCAAACCTGCGTTAGCTACAAGAGGTCGTTGCAACTCTTTTCTTTTATAGTGCCATTCTTCTCTGATATACCATGCAGCTTCAACCTTACACAAATAAAATTTAATTGGAACTCTGCCCTTGGCAAGCCTCTTGAAGTATCAATTTTTTTTTAAAGTAATGGTGGCAAATGATAACACCCTAGGTCAGGAGAAGTTTTAAAAGATGAACAGTCATACATAACCTTTTTTTCCCCTTCTCTTCCCCATCTTCAACTGGTTTTAGGATTGTTATGCATCACCCTTACTGGAGACCTGAAATCAGATTCTAAGTTTCACTTGCTTTGGCCATTGCTAGAACACAGAGCAAAAGACCCTGCTCAACAACTGAGAATTAACAAGTCCGAGCACTCTAATCCTCTCTGAAATAAGGCAGTAATATTTGACTCTTATTCAGAAAGCAGTCCTACCTATAGCATTTGTGTTGGGCTTGCCTAAAGTTTACCACCTGGTCACCAGATGCTCCTATAAGCAAGGATAAGCTGCTTCTGAAGGCTATTGTGCCTTAGAGAAGAGTAAAAATGCAGACAAATCCTTGAGAAAGTAATACTGTCCAAACCTGCAGGTTGAGGGGGATGGGGAAGGTTGTGTCCCCTTCCTAAAACTCTCCCTGTGCTTTTTTAAATACTGCAAAAGAAAATCAGGCATTACCTTAGTCTTGCACCTGTAATAACTCACTAACAGAATCCAAAGAGGAAAATTTAATACATTTCCTATAGCCTCTGCTGGAGACTAATACGAGAAAAGCATGCTCAGCAACCCCTCCCCACCAAAGTGAGCATTATCAGCAAAACTTTTGCTCTTACGAAAGAGAGATCAACACCAGGGAGTCTCTCTCTAGCAGCTGTAAATTCATTATCCCCCACATATTGTTCTGATGAGCATTTTCTGACTTCTCTATATAGGTTCCATTACCCCTAAGCCAAAAAAAAAGGTATTGTCAGCTGTAAACCCAAGTACTATCTTACCTCTTCTCTGCCATTTCTTTTCAACAGCAACTTCCTCACGCAAGTTTTAGAAAAGTGACAAACATACCAGCTAAATAAGCCAAGCATTCAAGATGTTCATTCTCCAGTTCTGCCCTATTTTTTTTGGCTTTTAGGTGCTTGGACTTCATTATCCCTTAATTAATTTTCCAGAAACAAGTCTTTTTCGCTCGTTTCGGTACGTCACCGCACGCAGTACTTTCCCTGTCTTCCATTCCATTCATATCATAGGTTTCAGTTTTCAGTTATTCATCTAAAACCTTTGTAAATTTGAAAGTTGGGCTAAATATTTTAGCTGGCCTATTTTAGCTACATCCACCATTTTCACTTCTAGTATTCTGGCGCTGACAAAATGGACAGTTTTAGTTTCTCCATTTTAATCCTCTTAGCTTCTTCTCTCTTCCTAATGCTCATTTTGAGCACTTCATCTCAAATCATAACTCCCTTTTCTAACAGCTTTGATCAAAACCAAGTTTGGACTCAAGTCAATAAAAATACTCTTCAGGATTAAACAAAGACTCTTACCTTTGGTTTTTTGATCTGTGACCTGCAAAGTAAGAGCAAGAATGTAAACACAGTTGTAAGAACCTCAAAACAAACATTCAGCAGGCTGCACTAAATCATGAATTTATAAGCACAAAATTGGTATAAGCTGAAAGAAAATAGTCAGCTGATCAACTGCAAGCATCAGAACAATTTATGTCTTATATATAAATTGTTAAGAACAACAGTTTCTGGAATACCTTTGCCTCACAGAAAATTATCTGGCATAAACAGTGATTACTGTATTCTTCATTGTTAGTATTCACCCCCTTCCTCTTGCCAAACACCTACTTGTGAAGCATGAATAAGCTCAACACTAATTTGTGAAGCACAAATAAACCTGAGCTATATACCATTACAGCTTCTTCAGCCTGTGCACATTAAACATTACAGTTAAACTGTAATAAATCCTACCCTCTATGCAAGTATACCTACAGTAGACTGTTGGGGCTAGCAACAGAATTCCCCCAGGGTCGCTGTATGTGAGAGTACTAATCTGTCTCTGCCACCTTCCCTTTCACTTTTCACACAGCATCCTCCCCAGGGTGACAGGAGGTTCACTATTTCAATTACAAAAAGTACCAGAAATACCTATAAAGCACCAGGCTTCAACATCACTTGAATGCAAGCAGTTGGTTACTGAAGTGAGCCATCATGCTGGCCAATGCACTCAATGTGGTGTTTTGCTGTACTTTTACATTCTTACAGCATAGCAGCTTTCAAGCTACAGCAGACACAAACATATCACTGGCGTATTCTGCGGAATCATGTGAATCGTAGCATGTTTTGATCCTGTCGATCATGAGCTCCACTACACAATAAAGGAAAAACCCTAAAGATCATCATGTGTCAGGCTCTATGACACCTGTTCTGAAAAAGAAATTGCTGAGCTAGTCCATAATTCTGGAAAGCACACAGGGACAGTATAGAATAATGAAAGCACAAGTAAAAAGCAGTTTATTGTCTAAGCCAACCAAGCCAGAACCCTTTTGTATGGTAAAGAATAAAAAGACAAACTGTCCTGAATTGCTGTGACATCATTTACTTCACAAAAGTGAGGAGTGTAATATGCAAAGTAAAATATTCACTATAATATAAACCAAATATCCACTAAATATAAATATTCACTAAAATATAAACCAAACTCGAACATCCTAACTTCAGACTGATGCAACTCTTCTAAGAAACCAACAATGCACCTGTACCAAAAATGTGTCCATACTGTGCCAGATGTCAGTTTTCATTTCTTTTAGGAAACATCCCACGTGTGCGAAGCCGGATCTGCCTCTAGAGCAGCTAAAATTCTGTTAAGCACTTAAGTGACTGTAACGCTTTGTTACTAAAGGAAGGTGAAATGGAATAGAAGAATTCATGAAACCAACGTTGTAATGCTGATAGGTTCCCTATGGTAAGAGCAAACACCTTCTGTAAATACCTTGTCTACTTGGAAGAACACCACTTCACCAGATGTTCAAAAAATCCTAAATTATAACCACTGTTTTAGATTAAAAAAAACACTTCTGCCTATGCTACATCCATAGTCAAAATTATCTGGTTTTGTCATTTCTCAGATCCAGAATACAGAAGCTGAGAAAGTGACTGCGTGTCTCAGACTTACAGCCGTCATCTCTCTGTGGGGAACCTGGGAGCACTGGCAGGACGGGGCCAATCTCAGCCTTCTGACAAGCTACCAAACAGCCCCTGGGACACAAACCACAGGAATTCAGTCTATGAATCTGCTTGCATAACCTTTGCTGATTTTCATCTTTTTCTTTCGTTAAGTTTCTGAAGATCCAGACAGAAACAGCTGTTTCATGTTATACAAACCCTATCTGAAAGAGCCATCCCTCAAATCACTGCTGGTTTTTTGGTGATCACTACTGCAATCACTAAGAACAGACACACACATTTATGTTCTGCCTATATTCCCAGCTGTCTTCAAGTATTACTCCCACACTTGGTCTCCAGGAGATTAACTTATTTTCAGTGTTTACCTTTTCCCAGATTTTGGCAAAATATCTTAACATGCAATCACAGCAAATAACTTGGTAGATGAGGGACCACACAGGAAAGCTGGCAAATCTCCTTTGTATTCAAAGTACTGACTCCTCTGTAAACACACTCAGCACTGCTATCAACACTATCAGTACAACCTTTCCAAGTTTTTGTTGTGTGGAGCATTAGCATGTAATTCTCAAATCACTACTCTTTACTCACAAGCCTCTGCCCCTCCTGGTTCCTACATGGCTGAAAACATACCATCTGTTTTTATTTTCTACTTGAGCATTAAACAGCAGCAACACTGAAGGAAAAAGACAGATGCTGAAGAAACCTTATTCTGTAGCTACTGATTTTCTGCAGTATTATTGAGGATGCATCATTGTGACACTGGACTAAGGACAACAGAAATACGCTAGGTTTATCTGCACCAATTTTGAAGTGGTACACTTAAATTGGCGGGAAAAAAAAAAAAAACAGACTTAAATAAAAGCTCCCAATGAACTAAAATTTAACCGATGCTGCAGAACCAGTATCAGCTGTTCTTAACACAAAGCTACATAACCTAACAGCAGAAGAGTAACACCAAGAATCTGAAGTAACTGAAAAACAAGGACTACTGAAAGTAAAGCACTCTGCTTTCAATCTCACAGTACTGTTGAGGTTGGGAAGCACAGCCTCTGGAGATGTGGCTCTACTACTCTGTAGTAGCTCTCCCTCAACCTGTGGGTCCCAGCTCAAAGCAAATTACCAAACCCAAGTTGCTCGGGGCCACGTCCAACTTGTTTCTGAGCATCTCCAAAGAACCACAACTCCAGCAAACCTGTTCTAGTGGTTGCCCATTCACACACGCTCACAAAAATATCCTCCTATGATTAAGCAGAATTTCTTCTATTTCCAATTTGCGCTCCCCTCCTCACGTCCTGTCTTGTGCACAACCAAGAAGAGCCTGGCTGCATCTTCTTTCCTCCCTCCCACCAAATATCTACACGTGCTCCCCCGTGCCTCCTCTTCCCCAGGTTGAGCAGTTCCAGCTCACTCAGCCTCTCTTCATTTGTCAGGTACTCCAGTCCCTCCATCACCTCTGGGGCCCTTTGCTGATTCCACTCAAGGATCCTTACAGCCATCTTGGACTGGGATGCCCAAAACAAGACGGAGAGGACTTACGTAAAAAGCACATATAAAATTGCAAGAGATGCTGAGTTCACACTTCAGGTTAATCTCTAGAATGACCTCCTACATTTTTAACAAAAAGGAGCACTTCCAAACAAACCAAGTGTTCAAACTCATCCATTGAGCATGAACACTTTACAGTGATTCTTCCAGAATCTCCACTTCAACAGAAGTGTTACTGGGCAGAGAAAATGTAAAACGTAAACCATATGTAGCAAACAATAAAAGCAACTTCAACAGAAATATTTCACATAACCTTTTTTAAGAATTTCTAGCATTCCCATCTCCAAAACACCTTCAAACACGGCGAAACGCACATACTGAGTGCCCATATTCAGCAACATTAATTAAATATTTCTTATCACAAAACTGATTACTTTTTCTTTGCCTGACAAACCAAAGAAAAAAATATCAAAGTTTACTAAAAACTGAAGTTCAAGACAAATAATGCAGAAAATCTTTAATGAAGCATTACTAGAACTTAGACAAGAAGAGGCTTTATTCTCAAATGCAAGCAATCTAATATTTTACCAGCCCCAGTACTATTTATGCTCTAGTTGGATAGGAGAACTCAAACATCAACACCTACCTTCTGAGCAGATTCCTTCTTTTTCTTATCCTCCTTCTTCCTTTTCTTGTCTTCCATTAACTGTTCTTCCCTTTCTTGCTCCTTCTCTCTGCCAAAACATAAATAAAACCAATATGAGCATTACCAAGTTCTGTGGGATCCACATGTATTATATACCTCTTCCCCACAAGAAAAGAAGTCCAGACAGCAGATTCTTCTGATCATCATGCTTCATTTGCATTGAAGGTTTCAGCCTAACTGAGATCAGAAAAGCACCTTGTAGTTCAGTGTGGCCACAATCATGAAACTTACTGCAAAAAGTAAAAGTCCTTCATTTGGATCAGACCTCTTCTAGTGATACCCTATGTAAATTAACTACATCTGATACTAAAAATTCCTTCAAGGCATTTTGGCCAAAGCATCCTTTTAATTGGGTTGTACTATTATTTAATGAAGTCTCATAAATCCTTTCATATGGCAAAAAAGGGAAGCAGTAATTTAAATAAGATGGTTTGGTTTGATATGCCATTTGTCTTCATAGGGGAAGAGATTATTCTATTCCCTGTAGCTATGCCACTTGTAAAAGACTAGAAGTGTCATATCAAATCAAAACCATCATTTATTACACAAATCACTAATTTCTAGCTTACTGTACCCAGCCAAATTTTTTTTTGTGACAAAATCTGTAATATAAACTACTTTCCAGGGAGAGCATTTTCTACCCAAGAACATTCCTTTTAAAGAAAATTAAATGAAGAAAGAAAAATATGTGCAGTTGCTATTTTGTCAAGCAATCATCCTGTTGCTATGTATTGTGCCAAAACAAAGTACCATTAATGGTTAATTTACTGCATATGTGCTACTGCCTGAGCTGTTTCTATGGTGAGCCACTCTGATTAACTAATTATCTTCACCTGCTTAAAAGGACACTTAAGATCAAGTTTTCAACTCACTTAGAATATATTCTTTTTTTAATCAGGGAAATTGTAAGACAATTGATGTAAAAAAATAATGTGACAGGAGGGAGAGGGCCAGAGAAAAGGGATGTGTACTTTAGAAACAGGAAACATCCAACACATTCAATCCATGAACTTTTACAACGTAACTTTAATTCAGATGGATGAAAACGGATTCAGGGAGTTTCAAAATACCAACCTTAAATGCACAGAAATATCTGTGCCATATTCAGAGTAGGGGGGAGAGGAAGGAGAAGAAAACATTTTGACTCACTATGTTGGCTGTAATAGCTGAAGCTCATACTTGTACTAAGTATTTATTTAAATGATGCACAAATCCAAGTTCTTTGTGAGTACAATTTAAAAAGATTAGAGCTGAGCTGGCTTTGTTGTCATGTCTTTCAGAATTCTCCTTCCACTGTGAGCTGCAATACCTCAAGTAAGAGGTTGAAGTGCAAAGAAAAATGTACCTCTTCTACAGATAGAAAGTAGAACATTTTCCTGGTTTCATGAACTCACTCTCCTCCTCGGTGGATGGAGACTAGAATGGATGAGTGCTCAGTAATACCATCCTCAGGCTATTGCCACGCGCAATTTATACATTAACGGCAAGTCCTGTCCCATTTTAACAAAACTGGACGCATTCTCCATCATACTGAGCAGCGTTTTATGCACTCTGTCCAGTAGTGCTGAACAAGGTCAGCTCTTGCTCTTTCCTGTTCTCTATAAAATGTCAAAAGCACACTTTCCAGCTCTACACTTCAGCAAGGAAAAGCCCCGCAGTTTTTTCAGTTTCACTAACATGCACACGATGCATTTGGGGAGGTCAGTGTACTTCATACTGTCACAGCACCGAGATGGAATTTTCCAATTTTCTGTAAGTAATCCTTTTAAGTAATATGGAAAAAGCTCTCCAGTGACACCATTCTCTTCCTGAGTTACTATAACCTCAAATTCTGTTTGCTACCTTCTTATTGACAAACAGCTTGGACCCTTTGGGCTGCAGTGCCAGTTATAACTTCACAGTCTCTAAAAAACTTTCCTGTGGCAGGCAAACATTTAAGAGCTGTCTTAAAGGAGCTGCTGAAAAAGGGTAGGATGAAAACATGAATTCCAGTAACTGCCTGGCACACAGACAACCTTCTGCTTAAAAGCACCTACTTACTTCTGTGAGCAGAGCAGGGAATGGAAAAGAACGAGAAGAAGTTGAAATTCACCATCAAAGCTGAAGTTGTGGCTTACAGCGACACGGAGCACTAACAATAAAAAGAATTGAGGACAGAAAACCCATAGCCTGCAAATAAACATGTGGTTATGGTCACCTGCCTGTGTGACCACAAGCTCAGAACAGGCAGACTGCTGCTGCCGCCGCCTTGTTTTTCTATATACGTGGATGAGGATCTCTGTTACTAAGGCTGCAGATGAAAGCTTAGCTCGTGAGCCCACCTTCGCTCGTGCTCCTTCAGTAGAGCTGGATATTCAATATCCCACAGGGCACATCATCACCAACTACTACATAGGGATCATCAATACTTAGCAATTCAGGCTTCAAATCAACAATCCATGTAGGCACACAGCTCGGTTCCGTTGAACTGTCAGGGATCTATCCGAACACTTGGGATATGGTCTATGTTCAAAATCATTAAGTTCTTGGCAAAAAAAATGTAACTGAAACCTTACTGCTGAAACATCTACTTCAAAAATGTATGTTTACCATTAAAAGTATGGTAGCTACAATTATGCTGATAAAACTGCTGTCGGCTTTCAGGTGAGCCAGCCTGCAACGGCAGCAGGACAGCAGCCCTGAGAGCACCAGGCAGAAGAAAGGCAAGCAGGTGATGATCTGGAGGGGTGGGGTTTTACTGCTTGTTTGTTTAATGCGCTTCTTCTAACATCTGAACACCTCTGATCAGACACTGATCAATACAGCAAGCTGTCTTTCGTGGCTCTCTTTTCTATGACCACATGTCATCACAGGAACAGAACCTTGCTGAATACAAACTTGTGAGAACAAAACTGACTGGAGAAAAACAAACATAGCAACGTTCAGTGCTTCAACAAATTCTACAAAACAAAAACCTTTCAGGTATCTCATTAATTGATTCAGAGGATTGCTGCCTACTAACTGAACATCAACTACAAGACTGCTTTCTGGCCTGCCCAGAGAAACCAGGCTCTGTGGTATACCAGGAGCACCGGCTGCTTCTGCTGACAACATCAGCATGGGGAGAAAAATGTAACTCTAAAATGAGTGGATTAAGAGTAATGCAATGGGGCATGGTTCTGTTTTTTTTGTTACCAGCACACAGTGATGGAACACAGACACACCAAAATCCTGAAGAGCAAATCTGATGAACAGCAACCAGTAGTTGGATTTTTATTCTAGTTCTCTAATAGGACTTTCATTAATTGCCTGCAAAATCTGAGAATTAACAGTGTTGGAAAATGTTTTAAAAGTGCATTACAGACTCCATTTTTGATTAGCAAAACAAAAAGAAAAAACAACGTGTTAACAGCTTACAAATGAAGGGAATCTCTGAGTGCTAATCTGAATTTTTGTTTTGAAAAGCAACGCACAGAACAGTAGCTATGACGGTGTATTCAATACATTACCTAGCTCCTTGTACCAACCTCCTCTGGCTAAGACAAAACTAATCATTTCAGAAAACAAAGAGGGTTTTTCAGTGAGTTAACTAGGGAGAACAGTTGCAAAATTCAAGTTCTCACAAGACATATCAGAAAGAAAAAAAAAAGAGGCACTTAAAAAGCATACCCTCTTACAGAACAGGCTTTTGAGAATGCTGTTTTCCCGCAAAATCCTAGCATTCATTTTTCCTTTTTCCCCACAGCTTTGGGCTTGAGACATGGGTAAAGAATGGAAGCTGACTGAAAACGGCAGACGAGAGGACGCGCTGCGCTCCACACTGTGACGCTATCTGCTGACAGCACGCCTTGATGGGTGCAGATAACGCCACACACAACCTTCGTCTGTGCGAAAAGCCACAACCCTATGAAGTCATCCTCGACTAAAACTGCATGAAAATTGAAGTTATGTGTAAGATACAAATTGTGGGAAACTCAGAAGTGGCACTTCACAGTATAAAGTTCCAGGTTCCTTCCAAGGGCTTCAGGGCAGCTGCATAAAAATGTCGGGTCCCCTGTAAGGACGCAGACCAGACAGCAGAACTATGAGTTCCCTTCCCTCCTTTTGCCCCCGCTCTTTACTTTCACTATTTGCTATAACACAACACGGCAGTGACAGCAAGTTTGTCTGGGTGCAACCTAGAAGTCTTCCTTCAAGCTGGGAACCAACCTTTCTACCCTCCTCTGGAACAGAAGAGATTATGAAACTGCACTTGCAGGACTGACAGCACATTAACAGAACCAGCTTTTATCTATATAGCTACAAGGTCACATTTATGACTGATAAATTTTGTCTAGAGACTTAAGCCACAACCAACCGCAGCTGGAGGCCTTCACTCTGCGTGAGAGAATGATATGCACTGCATAGGGCAATCCCACTTGGAGGCAACATTTATTAACTTGAACTAGCGCAGGTCCCCTCTGATTCAAAACATAGGTCCAGAAGTAAACTAATTATCATTTTAGAAATAGATCAAAAGACTCAAATTTGAGGGTCTAAACCAGGATTTAAATCTACAGTAAGATATCCAACTCTGGCCAAGATTTGAAGGAAGAAGGATTTCCAGTGAGCTGTAGCTACTGGTATGTGTAATTAAATGAAACTGCAGCCCTTCCACACAGCACTCAGTTAAAACTCTACATAAATTTTATCAATAGAAAGATTGATCAGGAAAAGTATCTGCATTTCCTCCTGAAGCTGACTCTGCAGTTGTGCTAGTAAAGACAACGTATGTAAAGACAACGTATCTTCTCAACTGGGCTGCATTCAGTCCTTTATTCCACCCTCCGCATGTGTAACCCTACTGCTGTCGCTTGCATCTCTGCAGTTTTAATTGTAACAGGGGCTTTACTGGTACGTTCCTGCATCACGCTTTGTATATACATGCATTAGAAAGAACACACTGATAGTAACAAGGGCCACGAGCAATGAAGAAGAAAACACAGCACACGCTGCTAAATGAGTATGCAGGATTTCAGTTCTCACACTCTCAGGCTCAGGCCCTTCGTG